AACGTGTGGTGGCCTCGCAACTCCAGGGGTTCTTGGAAGATATGGATGATCTAGAACCGGCGCAGTCTGGCTTTAGACCGGGACATGGAACCGAGACAGCCTTGGTCACCTTAGTGGATGATCTTCGCCGGGAGCTGGGCAGGGGGAGTGTGTCCCTGTTGGTTCTGCTGGACCTCTCAGCAGCCTTCAATACCGTTGACCACAATATCCTTCTGGAACGTCTCGCGGGGATGGGCCTCGGGGGAACTGTTCTGCAGTAGCTCCGGTCCGCCCTGGAGGGACGGTCTCAGATGGTGGTGTTAGGGGACACCTGCTCAGTCCCACGGCCATTGTCCCGTGGAGTCCCACAGGGATCAATACTGTCCCCTATGTTGTTTAACATCTACACGAAGACGTTGGGGGAGATCATCCAGAGTTTTGGAGTTTGATGTCACCTGTACACAGATGACGTCCAACTCTACCACTCCTTCCCATCTGCTGTCCGGGTTCTGAACCAGTGCTTGGTCGCTGTGACGGTCTGGATGAGGGTGAGCAAACTGAAGTTGAATCCAGACAAGACAGAGGTCCTCCTGGTCAGTCGAAGGCCGAACAGGGCATAGGGTTACAGCCTGTGCTGGATGAGATTGCGCTCCCCCAAAGACACAAGTTCGCAGTCTGGGGATGACCCTGGACTCATCGCTGAGCCTGGAACCCCAGGTCTTGGTGGTGACCAGGGGAGCATTTGCACAATTAACACTTGTGCGCCAGCTGTGCCCGTTCCTTGGGAAGTCTGACTTGGTCACGGTGGTCCACGCTCTGGTTACATTCTGTATAGACTACTGCAATGCAATTACATGGGGCCAAGCCCAGACAACATAGTACAGTACCTTCGACCGATTCAGCTCTGACTTCCGGAGACCACGGACACCCCCACAAATTACAGAACTGGACCAGACTAGGACGCAATGGAACAATGGCTTCAAACTACAAGAGAGGAGATTCCATCTGAACATGAGGAAGAACTTCCTGACTGTGAGAGCTGTTCAGCAGTGGAACTCTCTGCCCCGGAGTGTGGTGGAGGCTCCTTCTTTGGAAGCTTTGAAACAGAGGCTGGATGGCCATCTGTCAGGGGTGATTTGAATGCAATATTCCTGCTTCTTGGCAGAATGGGGTTGGACTGGAGGATGGCCCAGGAGGTCTCTTCCAAGTCTAGGATTCTATTATTCTAATGCGCTCTACATGGGGTTGCCTTTGAAGACTGTTCGGAAGCTTCTATTGGTCACGGTGATCCATGCTCTGGTTACATTCCGTATAGACTACTGCAATGCGCTCTACGTGGGGTTGCCTTTGAAGACTGTTCGGAAGCTTCTATTGGTCACGGTGATCCATGCTCTGGTTACATTCCGTATAGACTACTGCAATGCGCTCTACGTGGGGTTGCCTTTGAAGACTGTTCGGAAGCTTCTATTGGTCACGGTGATCCATGCTCTGGTTACATTCCGTATAGACTACTGCAATGCGCTCTATGTGGGGTTGCCTTTGAAGACTGTTCGGAAGCTTCAGTTGGTCCAATGGGGCTGCCAGGTTCCTCACCGGAGCAGCGTACAGGGATCATCATCATCCTCATCATCATCCTCCCTATTTCTGCCTCTCCAAGCGATGCCCATTTGACCTCCAAAAGAAGCCAAGGAGGAATTGCAACCAATGTTGTTGTGTTTTTTCCTGGGAAGGTGCTGCCTCCTTGTGGCCATTTTGAACTTTTTTGCTCCTCTTCAGATTAGGAATGGAGTCCCGGAGTTGGATACGACGACTACACTTAACGTCAAGAGGAAATTTTCCCCTTTTAATAATAATAATAATAATAATAATAATAATAATAATAATGACATTATATTAGAGCATTATATTGCCTTTAAATTAGTGGTTCTCAACCTTTCTAAAGCCGTGACCCCTAAATACAGTTCCTCTGACCCCCACCATAAAATTATTTTCATTGCGACTTTGTAACTGTAATTTTGCTACTGTTATGAATCGTAATGTAAATATCTGATATGCAAGATGTATTTTGATTGTTATGAATTGAACCTAATTAAAGCAGGGTGATTAATCACAAAAACAATATGTTTGGGGGAGTAGTGTTGTAGTTCAGCATGTTGCTCCAGTTGCTACTCCTAGTAGCAGGGAGAACGGGTCTCCTTTAGAGTCAGAGGGGGAACAGCAGCGTCAGCACATTAGAGGAATCATTATGGCTCCAAGCGATACTGACACGTTCCCAGGTTTCTCCAAGGGGATGGGGAAGGGAGCAGAGGTGTAAAGAGGGCTGCTCGAGAGCCAGAGTCTGAAGGGGAATTACAAAGGAAGCGTAGTCGGGAAATACTTTGTGCACCAACAGAGGAGGAAGACTTCCTTGGGTTTGAAAGGAGTTCTGGGACTGGGAGTCACATGGACGATGAGGAGGAGTTCAATTGGACCCGTGTGCAACACATAAGGGATATCTGTAACCAGCCCACCTCTCGTGAGGAATTTGAGGGGTTCACTGGGGATTGATTGGCGGCCAGGGGACTCTTGGCAGGATCTGAATCCTGATACTCGTTGGCAGAGGTGGAGGGACGGGCACTCAGCTGCGGGCTTGGAAGCAGCTGGGAGTGATGACGAGAGGGTGGGGAGCTCTTGTAAGATAAAAGGGGGTTCAGCTTGAATGGCAAGTTGCAGAAGGCAAAGTGTCGTCTTGGGGACATTAGTCTGGTACCTGCCAACGTTCCACCTTGGGTCCTGGGCTACAGCCTCCTGTGTTCCTGTGGTTTCCTGAGTGACTTCAACGTTCCCGCTTTGCTTCACTACGGAATTGACTACGGACCGGTTTGACTTCGCTTTTGGACTTCTGGACTTTCTTGTTCATATCTTTGTGACTTTATCAACTTTCAGTTTTGAAACAACGTTCTTTCAACTTTATAGACTGTGTTCTTGCTGCACTTTAATTTTTAAGCAAATTGCTTCATCTTTAGTTTAATCCGGATTAAGAGTCTACACTATAATCCGGATTATATTTTAGTTTACTCTATTGACTCATTTTTGGTGCCAAATTGCTCCAGCAGACTTAAGCACTGCAGTTAAGTGCTTTTCAAGACTTTTTGTTAACAATAAAGCTGTGTTTTACATTTGAACCGTGCCTGGCGTGTTTAAAGGCTTCTGGGTTCTGACACTGAGGGTCTTCCTCCTCCTCCTCCTCCTCCTCCTCCTCCTCCTCCTCCTCCTCCTCTCTGTTTGGAAGTGGAGGAGGGGGAAGATCCCAGAGGAGAATGATGAGGGCAGGCATTGCTGCTTCTGCCCCACGCTTTTCGAGGCTTCGAAGGGCGGCGAGAGGACAACATGGGGCACAGCAGTGAGGCCTGCCCTTTTTCTTCTCCAGGATCTTCCTCCTCCTCCTCTCCGTTTGGAGGTCCCCAAACAGAGAGGAGGTGGAAGAAGAGCCCAGAGCAGAAGGGTGAGGGCAAGACCCGGTCGCTATTCCAGTAAGTCAGAGGGAGCGGGGCCAAAGAAGGCAGCCCCGCGACCCCTCTGAAATGGCCGCACGACCCCTCTGGGGGTTGCGACCCCCAGGTTGAGAACCGCTGCTTTAAAGTCAACAACTTGTTTAATAGACAGCCATGAAAGCATTCCGTCTTCCGTGAATTTTCTCCCCAACTTTCCCACGTAATCTCTCAGATCGACATAATCTATTTTTGATTTGTAAATAAAGACTGGAAAATAAAAACGAATCTTCAGAGAGATTCAACTCGTCGGTATGTTTCTTCTGCTTCATCCTCCTGGGTCAAAAGCAACCTCCTGAGAATGTGTAGAGTGCATGCCCCTTCGATACCAGGATGTAAAGTGGGTCACCAGGGGGGGGGGTCTGTGTGGCAAGTTTGGTCCATTCGTGGGGGTTAAAGTGGTCTTGGGAAGTGAGTCCCATCATCCATGGAAATCCCATCATCCATGGAAAATGTGGTGCAGATCCATCATTGGTTGGGTTCACAGTGCTCTCTGGATGTCGAGGAACTACAACTCCTATAAATCAAGGTCAACCCCCCCCCCCCACAAACCTCTTGTGCCATAAGAAATGAAAGGTAGTGGGCGGGATCATGCAAATTCCACAGCAATGGGGAGAGAAAGGAACCCTGGGATGTCCATTCCAGAGGGGAAACAGAACATCAAGGATGGAATTGTCCCCAAATAAAAGCATTCCTTGGGTGGCGGGCAATATGGTGTTTGGGGAGGACATTGGCACGTGTGCAGAGACATGTTCATGGCGCCCGCTGTAACTTGCAACATCCTTGGAGAGAGAGCCTTTGGGTGGCTCCCCAGAACTGTCTGTGTAAGTAGGCATCTCTGCCACATACACACATCCACATTTTTAACTTTTATTATGTGTCTAGATTATTATTATTATTACTATAATTATTCGCATCTTGCCCCTCCTTCTTCGGCAGCGCAAAGACTCCTGGGAAGTGTAGTTTCCTTAGGCAAAGCTGAATGGGGTAAAAATATAGTTTTATCTATATCTACCATTACGAAAGGAGAATTTGCTGGTTGTGGTCATCTCTCTGGAATCTTCTGCCTCTGGTACAAAGCGATGGTTTGCAAGTTGTTGCCTATAGCTGTCTTAATCTTCTCTCCTGTGAAGCTTAGGCTGGCCAAAAGTTTCTGTTGTCCTTTGGACTGCTGGTATAATATCACTGAATGCAGCAGGTGCCTATAAACTGTCTTCTCTCCTGTGAAGCTTAGGCTGGCCAAAAGTTTCTGTTGTCCTTTGGACTGCTGGTATAATATTACTGAATGCAGCACATGCCTATAAACTGTCTTAATCTTCTCTCCTGTGAAGCTTAGGCTGGCTAAGAATGCCTGTTTTGGATTGCTAGGCCTAGGACTCCAGACAATATCCAAGCCTCTAATTTACTGTAGCTCTGCTGTACAAAGAACAGCACGCACACACACATGCATTCAACATCCACAGATTTTGCAGCCAAATATTCAACAATCCATGCCTTGAAATATATACAGTGATATATATTTTCCAAAAAAAGCAAACCTCGACTTTGAGGGAAGGGACATGATAGCAGAATAAAACCAGTTCTGGACTCTCACTCCCAGGAACCTGAGCCAAAAGAAGAGAATTCTGGGAGATGGAGTCCAAATGCATTCTGAGTCTCCATGAATGGCTTCGCCCTGCTCCTTCCTCATCTTCATCCTGCCAAAGAAAAGCAAACACATTCGAGGGACTGATCGTTTGCAGACGGCCCTTTGGAAAAGCCGGCAAAGACCATTCAGAAGAATAAGACAACATGCAAACAGAGGCTGCGAGGCCTACAAAACAATATGGCAGCCAGTAGACTGAAAAGAAAATGGAGGCTGCAGGCTCGCAGAACAAAATGGTGGCCAACAGGGACAGAAAACAAAATGGCGGCTGCTTGGCCTACAAAACAAAATGGCCGCCAACAGGCCTGAAAGAAAATGGTGGCTGCTAGGCCCAGGAAATAAAATGGCGGCCAGTTGACTAAAAAGAAAATGGAGGCTGCTAGGCTCACAGAACAAAACGGTGGTCAACAGGGACAGAAAACAAAATGGTGGCTGCTAGGCCCAGAAAATAAAATGGCGGCCAGTTGACTGAAAAGAAAATGGAGGCTGCTAGGTTGAGAAAACAAAACGATGGCCAACAGACCCAAAACGGAATCGAGGTTGCGAGGGCCACCATAATGGCGGCCAACTGGCCTAAAACCAAGTAGATGCTGAGAGGCCTGAAACAAAATGTGGAGGCTGCCAGGCTTACAAAACAAAATGGTGGTGGGCAGATGTGAAGCCAAATGGAGGCTGCTAGGCCTAGAAAAACAAAATGGCAGTTGATAGTCTTGCCACACAAAATGGTGGGCGACAGAGCTAAAACGAAATGGCAACCAATAGAGCTAAAACAAAACGGAGGCTGCTTGGCCTACAAAACAAAATGGCAGCCAACAGGCCTGAAAGAAATTGGTGGCTGCTAGGCCCAGAAAATAAAATGGTAGCAACAAGTTCTAACAAGGAAACTGGAAGAGGGGGGAGATGGGCAGGAAAGGTGTATAAAAGGAAGTGGTGGTGGGGAAAAGTCAGTAGTGTCTTTCTTTGTTGCAGAGATACAAGCAATATATCCATTTCCAAGCAGAACCGGCTTGTGAGTGGTTATTTAATATTGCTATAGAGATCCTACAGTCTAACAGCTGCTAGGCCGAGAAAACAAAATGGAGGCTGCTTGGCCTAGAAAAAAAATGGCGGTTGATAGGCTTGCAACACAAAATGTTGGTCGACAGAGCTAAAACAAAACAGCAGCCAATAGAGGTAAAACAAAATGGAGGCTGCTAGGTCTACAATATAAAATTGTGTCCGACAGGCATAAAACACAAGGAAGGCTCAGAACAAAATGGTGGCCGACAGAGCTGAAACCGAATGGCGGTTGGGGTTTGTGCGCAGGGCCTACCTGTGCCCGTGTTGTGCCAAACCAAAAGGGCTGCACAGAGGAGTGCGACCACGGCCCCGGCCACAAAGCGGGCGACCATCATCCACGAAGGGGCCCCGCAACTGGGTTCTTCCTCTGGAAAAAGAGAACAACAACAGAGCAAGGGCCGGGAATTGTAACATCATTAGTGTTGCACTCCAGGACAGGACTTTAAACACCACACAGTTGAGTAGGAAAACAATCCCTTCATTGAAGATAATTAAAAAGCAGTAAAGTAAAAAAGCACTTTAAAGGAATAGGTAAATCCAATTAGGTAGAAAGATAAGCTGGAACAAAACAGTCCAGGGTAATAGTCCATCAAAGTCCATGAAAAACAAAGGCAAAAACTTCTCCAATCAAATCCAAGAAACCTGGAAACATGAATCCAAGGCATGGATATAAATAATAGAATCCAAGAATCAAAACCATGAAACAAAGGCACGAATCTTTCCAAGCAAAGCTTCCATGAAACAAGATCGAGATTTTGACTTGATTCCAACTGATGCTTCATCTGACTACATATCCTGTACTTGGGACTTTTATCTCCTCGTTAAGGCATCTCTCAAGTGCTCAGAAATTGGTTTCACTTTAGCTTCAAGTCTCTAATCTTTCTCTCTCTGAGTCTGGCAGAACGCCGAAGCCACTGTTCAGCTCTTCTGTTTTGACTAATCTCCTCCCGTCTATCTATTTGCTCATTAATTTCCGCATCTGGGCAAGGTGCCGAGCTGTTTTCAAGCTTCAAATGATGGGAATTATCTGGTAACAATGTCAAGCACACCATCACCCCACACCCCTCAGGGACATTCTCATGAGAAACTACACTTCGAACAGGGATCTCCTGGCCATTCTCTGCATCAAGAGCATTGACCAGACCATTGCCATCTTGAAACTCATTGTCATCACTCCCCACATCAACGCACCCTGATCCTGAAACACAATCACAGGCTGAGCTCCAACAATTAGGCCTTCATTCACTGCAAAGCAACTGATACAGTGATCAAAGCAACTGACCCAGGATTCCGTCCCCCAAAGCGTCGTTATCTCATTCTATCGTATTTTGTATAACTCACCACAGAGATCCCGCAAGGGCCGTGTGCTGGAGGCGGTGCTGATGGGATTCCTGGCTGTGCAAGAGACATTCAGGTTCTCTTCCTTCCCTCTGCCATCTTGGACATCCAGGAGCCTTCCAGAATGTTCCTCTCTCCCGCTGGCAGCCATCTTAAACGTGACGCCTTCCTCCGACTCTCCCGCTGAGCAGTTCAGCCGCCAAGTCTCATTCTCGATCGCTTTGCAATGGATTTGCACATCTGAATCTAGCAAATGCCCTGGAAGAACATTCAGAAGAGAGAGAATGAGTCCAAAACAGGGGAAGCCCGGGACCTGAAGGCTCGACAGTAGTGGAGGCCATTCCTTTTCTGTTCCTGCTTGGAAATTGTTATTTTTCTGTGTGCTCCTTACTTTGAATGTTGTCATTGTACTCCAGAAACTTTGTTTTTGTCGCTAACAGAATGTTGAATGGGTTGAGACTTGACAATGAGAGATTGATTGCCAAACTGGAGCCAAATGTGCTGTAACAGGATGATGTCCCTCCCTCCCACAAAGACAAAAGTTCTGGAAAAACCTACAACAACCCAGTGATTCCGACCATGAAAGCCTTCGACAATACAAAAGTTCTGGAGTTTAATACAATGAGTCCAAAACAGGAGAAGCACCGGGACCTGAAGGCTCAACACACACAGAGGCCATTCCTTTTCTGTTCCTGGTTGGAAAGTGTTGTTTCTAGGCCTGGGTAACAACGGAAAAATTTGTTTCTAAAATCGATTCATTTTTTGGGTTTTTTTGCGTTTCGATATTTAAAAGAATTCCGATTTTTTAAAAAAAAAAAGTTCGATATTTACGAAATTTCGTAAATGGTAAAAAAAATTACAAAACAATAACGAAACAATAACGAATCGATTCGTTAATGGCGGACGCGACCGCGCAATACGCTAAAAAACCTCCAAATGGGGCAGGGGGAACTTCTGAAGCTTCCCTCTCCCTCTGTTGTTGACTGTTGGTGTGATATTATAATTTTTTTTCACTAATTAAACAAAAAACAACTATAAAACTTGCCCCAGACATGCGGAAATAATAACGAAACGACCTCAAACCAATAACGAAACGAATACATAATGAAATACGAAGCATTTACGAAACGAATTGAAAAATTCGTTTCGTTTTTAAGTTGCTCCAGAATGGTTCGTTATCACTTCGTTAACAAAAAAAATAACGAATTTTAAACAAATTACGAATTAACGAAACAAAACCGCCCAGCCCTAGTTGTTTCCTGTTTAATTGTGTGGTCCTTACTCTGAATGTTGCCGTTCTACTCCAGAAACTTTATATTTGTGGCTAACACAATGTTGAATGTGTTGAGACTCGATAATGAGAGATTCATTGCCTAACTGGAGCCAAATATGCTATAGCGGGATGATGTCCCTCCCTCCCTCCCTCCCTCCCGCAAAGACAACATTTCTGGTGTTTAATACAATGAGTGCAAAACAGGAGAAGCACCGGGACCTGAAGGCTAGCCGTGGAGGAAGGCAAACAACCGTATTATTTGACGGCCTTTAAGAAGGAAAGGGAGATTTGTGGGCAAGGCAAGGGTCCCGATACTCACTGAAGACTTGGAGGCGGAAGAGAAAAATTAATAACTCTTTCTTTTCAGGGATTTGGACCCGAGCCCTGAAAGTGGCCGAGTCCTCTTCTTGCAGGCGGAGGATTTCAATCGTCTTGCAGTCCTCAGAGACATTCAGTCGCCCTTGCAAGCTTATGAGGCTTATGATGGATAAGCATTTCTCTCCTGGCTTCAAGACGCCAACGGTATCAACATCCTTTCCCTTCGTTCTCAGCCAAGTAATTATTTCAAATGGTGAGGAAAACTTCAGCTGGAAAGCGACCGACGCCCCAACAATCCCGGTCACGTTTTCTACATTTTCATCTTCTTCTCCAAAAGATCCTATAAGTTCAAGAAGAATTGAGGAAATATAATATTATTATATTATAATTAGTTGAACTATATTATATTATTATAATACAATCATAATGTTAGCAATACTGCAATAATATATTCATTATTATATTATAATCAGGAAATTAGATTATTATAATATAATGGGGGGGCCCCCGGTGGCGCAGTGGGTTAAAGCACTGAGGTCGCAGGTTCGATTCCAGGGAGCGGCATGAGCTTCCGCTGTCAGCCCCAGCTTCTGCCAACCTAGCAGTTTGAAAACATGCAAATGTGAGTAGATCAATAGGTACCTCTCCGGTGGGAAGGTAACGGCACTCCATGCAGTCATGCTGGCCACATGACCTTGGAGGTGTCTATGGACAACGCCGGCTCTTCGGCTTAGAAATGGAGATGAGCACCACACCCCAGAGTCAGACATGACTGGACTTAATGTCAGGGGACAACCTTTACCTAATATAATAATAGCAATACTGCAATAATATATTCATTATTATAATTAGGAAATTATATTATAATATAATAATAATAGCAATAATAATAATAATAATAATCTTTATTTATAACCTGCCACCATCTCCCCAAAGGGGACTGGGCGGTTAACATGAAGCCAAGTCCAAAAAAATACTGTAATAATACTAAATAATAATTATATTAGGATTCAGGAAGTTCAGAAAGAGAATGTATGATTATTATTAGAGGGTATTATCATTATTATTGTTATTAAATAGCAACAAGCACATTGTCCCAATGCAGGGTTCCCTTGCCCTCTGGGGCTGGACTAGATGGCCTTTGGGGGACCCCTTCCAGGGCTATCTTTTGGTAGGATTCTCTTAAAGGAGCGGAGGCTTACCTGCAAGCAGAGCCACCAGGGCAAGCAGGAAAGGCCCCATTTTGCAGCCGCTTCCTCTTCAGACCTCAGATCAAGAAACCAAAGCTGTATATAGCTCGTCCCCAAAAGGAGGAGGAGGAGTGATGCCTGCCCACTTCCCTTTATGATATGTCCTCCTCAAAGAGCATTCTTCTCTCATTTGGGATTTTGCAGAGCATCCCATCCTATTTTGCACCAACAATCGCTTTATGGAAGATAATTAAAAAGCAGTCAAGTAAAAAAGCACTTTAAAGGAATAGGGAAATCCAATGAGGTAGGAAGATAAGGATTATCTGGACCCGGCACAGTCTGGCTTTAGGCCAGGACATGGTACCGAGACAGCCTTGGTCGCCTTAGTGGATGATCTGCGTCGGGAGCTCGACAGGGGGAGTGTGTCCCTGTTGGTCGACCACAGTATCCTTCTGGGACGCCTCCTTGCGGGGATGGGTCTTGGAGGGACTGTTCTGCAGTGGCTCCGCTCATTCCTCGAGGGTCGGTCTCAGAAGGTGTTACTGGGAGACTCCTGTTCAACCCCACAACCTTTGTCTTGTTGGGTTCCTCAGGGTTCAATACTGTCTCCCATGTTGTTTAACATCTACATGAAGCCGCTGGATATTTCGGGGTGAGGTGTCATCTGTACGCGGATGATGTCCAACTCTGTCACTCCTTTCCACCTGCTACTAAGGAGGCTGTTCAGGTCCTGAACCGGTGCTTGGCCGCTGTAACGGTCTGGATGAGGGCGAACAAATTGAAATTGAATCCAGACAAGACAGAGGTACTCCTGGTCAGTCGCAAGGCCGAACAGGGATTAGGGTTACAGCCCGTGCTGGATGGGGTCGCACTCCCCCTGAAGACACAGGTTTGCAGCTTGGGAGTCCTGGACTCATCGCTGAGCCTGGAACCCCAGGTTTCAGCGGTGACCAGGGGAGCATTTCGCACAATTAAAACTTGTGCGCCAACTGCGACCGTACCTTGGGAAGTCTGACTTGGCCACGGTAGTCCACGCTCTGGTTACATCCCGTCTTGACTACTGCAACGCTCTCTACGTGGGGTTGCCTTTGAAGACGGCCCGGAAGCTCCAATTAGTCCAACGGGCGGCAGCCATGATACTAACAGGAGCGGAGCGCAGGGAGCATACAACTCCTCTGCTGCACCAGCTCCACTGGCTGCCGATTTGCTACCGGGCTCAATTCAAAGTGCTGGCGTTGGCCTTTAAAGCCCTAAACAGTTCTGGCCCAACTTATCTATCCGAACGTATCTCAGCCTATCAGCCCACCAGGACCCTAAGATCTTCCGGAGAGTCCCTGCTCTCTGTCCCTCCGGCTTCAGAACTGCGGCTGGCGGGAACGAGAGACAGGGCCTTCTCTGTGGTGGCCCCTTGGCTTTGGAACACCCTCCCTTTAGAGGTACGATCAGCCTCCTCGCTGATGGTGTTTCGGAAGAGATTGAAAACATGGTTGTTTAAACAAGCATTCGGCTAATCCGTTGCAATCGAATTCTGGTGACTAAAGGACAGGTAATCATGGACAACGAATTTTGGATTGTGATTTTAGTTCGAGATGCATGGGATTATTATTGGTGGCCCAATAATTTGTATTGTATATGTGTTGTATGTTTTAAATTGAAGACTGTTTTTTAATTGTTGTAAACCGCAATGAGTCGCCGACTTAGGCTGAGATATTAGCGGTATACAAGCGTATAAATAAAATAAAATAAATAAATAAATAAATAAATAAATATAAGCAGGAACAAATTAGTCCAGGGAATTAGTCCATCAAAGTCCATGAAAAACAAAGGCGAAATCTTCTCCAATCAAATCCAAGAAACCAGGAAACAGAAGCCAAGAACCGAAACATTGAGACAAAGGCATGAATCTTTCCAAGCAAAGCTTCCAAGAAACAAGGACAAGAACTTGACTTTATTGAAGATAATTAAAAAGAGGTAAAGTAAAAAAGCACTTTAACGGAATAGGTCAATCCAATTAGGGAGGAAGATAAGCAGGAACAACTTAGTCCAGGGCAATAGTCCATCAAAGTTCATGAAAAACTAAGGCAAAAACTTCTCCAATAAAATCCAAGAAACCAGGAAACATGAATCCAAGGCATGGATATATACATTTTGTAAGGAAAGTATATCCAATGTAATTTGATTATTTGCAAAGAATCGTTACCTGATCGCGCTGCTGGAGCTTCAAAACAAGGCCTGGGCCTGACTGTAGTTCAGATCCAGAACTTCCTATTGAACAATTTGGAAGGACAAAAGACTTTTTCCAAAAAATTAGAAACATCGGAGGTAAATTTCAGATGAAAATTGGCATAAGAAACAAAGATGGGAGTGACCTAACAGAAGCAAAATGGAAATGGTGGTTGATAAGCTTGCCACACAAAATGGTGGCCGACAGAGCTAAAACGAAATGGCAGCCAATAGAGCTAAAACAAAATGGAGGCTGCTTGGCCTACAAAACAAAATGGCAGCTAACAGGCCTGAAAGAAAATGGTGGCTGCTAGGCCCAGAAAATAAAATGGTGGCCAGTGGACTGAAAATAAAATGGAGATGGGCAGGAAAGGTGTCTAAAAGGAAGTGGTGGAGGGAAAAAGTCCGTAGTGTCTTTCTTTGCTGTAGAGATACAAGCAATATATTCATTTCACAGCAAAACTGGCTTGTGAGTGGTTATTTAATATTGCCATAGAGATCCTACAGTCTTACAGCTGCTAGGCCGAGAAAACAAAATGGAGGCTGCTTGGCCTAGAAAAAAAATGGCGGTTGATAGGCTTGCAACACCAAAATGATGGCCGACAGGACTAAAACAAAATGGCAGCCAATAGAGGTAAAAGAAAATGGAGGCTGATAGGTCTACAATATAAAATCACGCCTGACAGGCATAAAACACAAGGTAGGCTCAGAACAAAATGGTGGCCAACAGAACTGAAACCAAATGGCGGTTGGGGTTCATGCGCAGGGCCTACCTGTGCCCGTGTTGTGCCAAACCAAAAGGGCTGCACAGAGGAGTGCGACCACGGCCCCGGCCACAAAGCGGGCAACCATCATCCACGAAGGGGCCCCGCAACTGGGTTCTTCCTCTGGAAAAAGAGAACAACAGAACGATGGCAGGGAATTGTAACATCATTAGTGTTGCACTCCAGGACAGGAAAAGTCCTCTGACTTTAAACACCACACAGTTGAGTAGGAAATCAATCCTTTCATTGAAGATAATTAAAAAGCAGTAAAGTAAAAAAGCACTTTAAAGGAATAGGTCAATCCAATTAGGAAGGAAGATAAGCTGGAAGAAATTCGTCTAGCGTAATAGTGCATCAAAGTCCATGAAAAACAAAGGCAAAAGCTTCTCCAATCAAATCAAAGAAACCAGAAAACATGAATCCAAGGCATGAATATAAATAATAGAATCCAAGAACCAAAAGGTTGAGACAAAGCCATGAATCTTTCCAAGCAAAGCTTCTAAGAAACAAGGACGAGAACTTGACTTTATTGAAGATAATTAAAAAACAGTAGAGTAGAAAAGCAGCTTAAAGGAATAGGTAAATCCAATTAGGCAGGAAGATAAGCAGGAACAAATTCGTTTAGCGTAATAGTCCATCAAAGTCCATGAAAAACAAAGGCAAAAACTTCTCCAATCAAATCCAAGAAACATAGAATCCAAGAATCAAAGCCATGAAACAAAGGCACGAATCTTTCCAAGCAAAGCTTCCATGAAACAAGATCGAGAACTTGACTTGATTCCAACCGATGCTTCATCTGACTACATATCCTGTACTTGAGACTTTTATCTCCTCGCTAAGGTATGTCTCAAGTGCTCAGAAATTGGTTTCACTTTAGCTTCGAGTCTCTTATCTTTCTCTGAGTCTGGCAGAACACCGAAGCCACTGTTCAGCTCTTCTGTTTTGACTAATCTCCTCCCATCTATCTATTTGCCCATTAATTTCTGCATCTGGGCCAGGTGCCGAGCTGTTTTCAAGCTCCAAATGATGGGAATTCTCTGGTAGCAATTCAGGGAGCACACCATCATGCCCACACCCCTCGGGGTCATTCTCGTGAGAAACTTCACTTTGAACAGGGATCTCCTGGTCATTCTCTGCCTCAATATCATTGACCAGACCATTGCGATCTTGGAACTCATTGTCATCACTCCCCACATCCAACGCACCCTGATCCTGAAACACAACCACAGGCTGAGCTCCAACAATTAGGCCTTCATTCACTGCAAAGCAACTGATACAGTGATCAAAGCAACTGACCCAGGATTCCTTCCCCCAAAGCGTCGTTATCTCATTCTACCGTATTCTGTATAACTCACCACAGAGATCCTGCAAGGGCCATGCGCTGGAGGCGGTGCTGATGGGATTCCTGGCTGTGCAAGAGATAGTCAGGTTCTTTCCATCCCCTCTGCCATCGTGGACATCCAGAGTCCTTCCGGAGTGTTCCTCCCACTCGTCGACAGCCATCTTGAACATGACCCCTTCCTCCGACTCTCCCGCTGAGCAGTTCAGCCGCCAAGTCTCATTCCCGATCGCATTGCAATGGATTTGCACGTCTGAATCTAGCAAATGCCCTGGAAGAACATTCAGGAGAGAATGAATCATAAATCATAGAATCCTAGAGTTGGAAGAGACCTGGTGGGCCATCCAGTCCAACCCCCTTCTGCCAAGAAGCAGGAATATTGCATTCAAAGCACCCCTGACAGATGGCCATCCAGCCTCTGTTAAAAGCCTCCAAAGAAAGAGCCTCCACCACACTCCGGGGCAGAGAGTTCCACTGCTGAACAGCTCTCACAGTCAGAAGTTCTTCCTCATGTTCAGATGGAATCTCCTCTCTTGTACTTTGAAGCCATTGTTCCACATCCTAGTCTCCAAGGAAGCAGAAAACAAGCTTGCTCCCTCCTCTCTGTGACTTCCTCTCACATATTTATACATGGCTATCATATCTCCTCTCAGCCTTCTCTTCTTCAGGCTAAACATGCCCAGCTCCTTAAGCCGCTCCTCATAGGGCTTGTTCTCCAGACCCTTGATCATTTTAGTCACCCTCCTCTGGACACATTCCAGCTTGTCAATCTCTCTCTTGAATTGTGGTGCCCAGAATTGGACACAATATTCCAGGTAAAGTGGTCTAACCAAGGCAGAATAGAGCATGACTTCCCTAGATCTAGACACTAGGCTCCTCTTGATGCTGGCCAAAATCCCATTGGCTTTTTTTGCCACCGCATCACATTCCTGGCTCATGTTTAACTTGTTGTCCACGAGGACTCCAAGATCTTTTTCACACGTCCTGCTCTCGAGCCAGCATTGTCCCCCATTCTGTATCTTTGCATTTCATTTTTTCTGCCAAAGTGGAGTATCTTGCATTTGTCCCTGTTGAACTTCATTGTGTTAGTTTTGGCCAACCAACTCTCTAATCTGTCAAGATCGTTTTGAACCCTGCTCCTGTCCTCTGGACTATTGGCTCTCCCTCCCCATTTGGTGTCGTCTGCAAACTTGATGATCCAAAACAGGGGAAGCACCGGGACCTGAAGGCTCGACAGGCGTGGAGGCCATTCTTTTTCTGTTCCTGGTTGGAAAGTGTTATTTCCTGTTTAATTGTGCGGTCCTTACTTCGACAGTTGTATTCTACTCCAGAAACTTTATTTTTGTGGTTAATTATTATTATTATTATTATTATTATTATTATTATTATTATTTACAGCATTTCTACCCCACCCTTCTCAACCCCGGTGGGGTCGGGGGTGGTGGACTCAGAGCAGCTAACAAAGGCAGCAATTTGATGCCACAAATCAATATCACAGTATAATACCATAAATACATACAGAGTTAAAACAATAGCAATTAATTATAACCAAATTATCATAACAGTCATTAAACCAACACAATGTTGAATGGGTTGAGACTTGACGATGAGAGATTCATTGCCAAACTGGAGGCAAATGTGCTACAGTGGGATGATGTCCCTCCCTCCCTCCCTCCCTCCCTGCCGCAAAGACAAAATTTCTGGAGTTTAATACAATGAGTCCAAAACAGGGGAAGCACCGGGACCCGAAGGCTCGACAGGCACGGAGGCCATTCTTTTTCTGTTCCTGATTGGAAAGCGTTGTTTCCTGTTTAATTGTGCGGTCCTTACTTTGAAAGTTGTCGTTCTTCTCTAGAAACTTTATTTCTACACAATGTTGCATGGGTTGAGACTTGATGATGAGAGATTCATAGCCAAACTGGGGCCAAATGTGCCTTAGCAGGATGATGTCCCTCCCTCCCACAAAGACAAAAGTTTTGGAAAAACCTACAACAACCCAGTGATTCCGACCATGAAAGCCTTCGACAATACAAAAGTTCTGGAGTTTAATACAATGAGTCCAAAACAGGGGAAGCACCGGGACCTGAAGGCTCAACACACACGGGGGCCATTCCTTTTCTGTTCCTGGTTGGAAAGTGTTGTTTTCTGTTTAATTGTGTGGTCCTTACTTCGACAGTTGTTATTCTACTCCAGAAACTTTATTGTTGTGGTTTATTATTATTATTATTATTATTTACAGCATTTCTACCCCACCCTTCTCAACCCCTGTGGGGGGGGGGCGGACTCAGAGAGAGCAGCTAACAAAGGCAGCAATTCGATGCTACAAATCAATAACACAGTATAAAACCATATATACATACAGAGTTAAAACAATAGCAATTAATTATAACCAAATTATCATAACAGTAATTAAACCAACACAATGTTGAATGGGTTGAGACTCGAGAATGAGGGATTCATTGCCAAACTGGAGCCAAATGTGCTATAGCGGGATCTGAACACGAGGAAGAACTTCCTGACTGTGAGAGCCGTTCAGCAGTGGAACTCTCTGCCCCAGAGGGAGTGTGGTGGAGGCTCCTTCTTTGGAAGCTTTGAAACAGAGGCTGGATGGCCATCTGTCAGGGGTGATTTGAATGCAATATTCCTGCTTCTTGGCAGAATGGGGTTGGACTGGATGATGGCCCACCAGGTCTCTTCCAACTCTAGGATTCTATGATTCTATGTCCCTCCCTCCCACAAACACAAAATTTCTGGAGTTTAATACAATGAGTCCAAAACAGAGGAAACACCAGGACCTGAAGGCTCGACAGGTGTGGAGGCCATTCCTTTTCTGTTCCTGCTTGGAAAGTGTTGTTTCCTGTTTAATTGTGTCGTGCTTAATTTGAAGGTTGTCGCTCTGCTGCAGAAACGTGGTTTTTGTGGCTAACACAATGTTGAATGGCTTGAGACTTTATGATGAGAGATTCATTGCAAAACTAAAGAATGTGCCTTAGCAGGATGATGTCCCTCCCTCCCTCCCTCCCTCCCTCCCTCCCTCCCACAAAGACAACATTAGTTTAATACAATGAGTGCAAAACAGGGGAAACACCGGGACCTGAAGGCTCGACAGGCACGGAGGCCATTCTTTTTCTGTTCCTGATTGGAAAGCGTTATTTCCTGTTTAATTGTGCGGTCCTTACTTCGACAGTTGCCGTTCTACTCTAGAAACTTCTATTTTTGTGGCTAACACAATGTTGAATGGGTTGAGACTCAGAAATGAGCAATTCATTTCCAAACTGGAGCCAAATGTGCTATAGTGGGATGATGTCCCTCCCTCCCTCCCTCCCTCCCACAAAGACAACATTTCTGCAGTTTAATACAATGAGTCCAAAACAGGAGAAGCACCGGGACCTGAAGGCTAGCCGTGGAGGMAGGCAAATYACCGTATTATTTGATGGCCTTTAAGAAGGAAAGGGAGAYYYRTGGACAAGRCMMGKGTCCCRATACTCACTGAAGACTTGGAGGTGGAAGAGGAAGATTAATAATTCTTTCTTTTTAGAGATTSKGACCYSAGCCCTGAAARTGGCCGAGTCCTCTTCTTGCAGGCGGAGGATTTCAATCGTCTTGCAGTCYTCAGAGACATTCAGTYGCCCTTGCAAGCTTATGAGGSTTATGATGGATAARCATTTCTCTCCYKGCTTCAAGACGCCAACGGTATYAASATCCTTTCCCTTCGTTCTCWGCCAAGTAATTATTTCAAATGGTGAGGAAAACTTCAGCTGKAAAGCGACCGACGCCCCAACAATCCCGGTCACGTTTTCTACATTTTCATCTTCTTCTCCAAAAGATCCTATAAGTTCAAGAAGAATTGAGGAAATATAATATTATTATATTATAATTAGTTGAACTATATTATATTATTATAATACAATCATAATGTTAGCAATACTGCAATAATATATTCATTATTATATTATAATCAGGAAATTAGATTATTATAATATAATGGGGGGGCCCCCGGTGGCGCAGTGGGTTAAAGCACTGAGGTCGCAGGTTCGATTCCAGGGAGCGGCGTGAGCTTCCGCTGTCAGCCCCAGCTCCTGCCAACCTAACAGTTTGAAAACATGCAAATGTGAGTAGATCAATAGGTACCGCTCCGGCGGGAAGGTAACGGCGCTCCATGCGGTCATGCTGGCCACATGACCTTGGAGGTGTCTATGGACAACGCCGGCTCTTCGGCTTAGAAATGGAGATGAGCACCACACCCCAGAGTCAGACATGACTGGCTGTCAGGGGACAACCTTTACCTAATATAATAATAGCAATACTGCAATAATATATTCATTATTATAATTAGGAAATTATATTATAATATAATAATAATAGCAATAATAATAATAATCTTTATTTATAACCTGCCACCATCTCCCCAAAGGGGACTGGGCGGTTAACATGAAGCCAAGTCCAAAAAAATACTGTAATAATACTAAATAATAATTGCATTAGGATTCAGGAAGTTCAGGAAGAGAATGTATGATTATTATTAGAGTGTATTATCATTATTATTGTTATTACATAGCAACAAGCACATTGTCCCAATGCAGGGTTCCCTTGCCCTCTGGGGCTGGACTAGATGGCCTTTGGGGGACCCCTTCCAGGGCTATCTTTTGGTAGGATTCTCTTAAAGGAGCGGAGGCTTACCTGCAAGCAGAGCCACCAGGGCAAGCAGGAAAGGCCCCATTTTGCAGCCGCTTCCTCTTCAGACCTCAGATCAAGAAACCAAAGCTGTATATAGCTCGTCCCCAAAAGGAGGAGGAGGAGTGATGCCTGCCCACTTCCCTTTATGATATGTCCTCCTCAAAGAGCATTCTTCTCTCATTTGGGATTTTGCAGAGCATCCCATCCTATTTTGCACCAACAATCGCTTTATGGAAGATAATTAAAAAGCAGCTTCATCTGACTACATATCCTGTACTTGGGACTTTTATCTCCTCGTTAAGGTATGTCTCAAGTGCTCAGAAATTGGTTTTGCTTTCGCTTCGAGTCTCTTATCTTCCTCTCTCTGAGCCTCATTTGGGATTTTGCAAATCATCCCATCCTATTTTGCACCAATACATTCCCAAGTACAATTTTTAAGGAAAGTATATCCAATGTAATTTGATTGTTTGCAAAGAATCGTTACCTGGTTGCTCTGCTGGAGCTTCAAAACAAGACCTGGGCCTGACTGTAGTTCAGATCCAGAACTTCCTATTGAACAATTTGGAAGGACAAAAGACCTTTTCCAGAAAATTAGAAACATCGGAGGTAAATTTCAGGCGAAAATTGGCATAAGAAACAAAGATAGGAAGGAGAATAGTACCGAGGATAGTTTTGACGTTGTGGTGAGGGAATTAGAACCAGACATCCTGAGGAGTGAGGTTGGATGGGTTTTAAAAACAAAGATGGTGGCGACCTAACAGAAGCTGAAGAGATCAAGAAAAGATGGCGAGACTATACAGAAGATCTCTATAGGAATCATAATAATATCGAGGATAGTTTTGACGTTGTGGTGAGGGAATTAGAACCAGACGTCCTGAGGAGTGAGGTTGGATGGGTCTTAAAAACAAAGATGGCAGCGACCTAACAGAAGCTGAAGAGAGAGAAGTTGGTGAGACTATACAGAAGATCTTGAAGATAGTTTTGACGCTGTGGTGTGGGAATGATTTATTTGCAAAATAATAGTGGAAAATATAATTGGATTATTTGCACAATATTGCGGGGAAAAATATGATTTATTTGCAATATAATAGTGGCAAATATAATTTGATTATTTGCAAAATATTAGGGGGGAAATATTAGAGGAGAATGTGATTTGGAAAATTGCAAAATATTGGGGGGAGGGGAAAATATGATTTGATTATCTGCAAAATATTGGGAGAAATATTAGAGGAAAATATGACTTGGAAAATTGCAAAATATTTGGGGAAGGGGAAAATATGATTTGATTATTTGCACAATATGATTTATTTGCAAACAAAATGGTGGTGGGCAGATGTGAAGCCAAATGGAGGCTGCTAGGCCTAGAAAAACAAAATGGCAGTTGATAGTCTTGCCACACAAAATGGTGGGCGACAGAGCTAAAACGAAATGGCAACCAATAGAGCTAAAACAAAACGGAGGCTGCTTGGCCTACAAAACAAAATGGCAGCCAACAGGCCTGAAAGAAATTGGTGGCTGCTAGGCCCAGAAAATAAAATGGTAGCCAGCTGACTGAAAATAAAATGGAGATGGGCAGGAAAGGTGTATAAAAGGAAGTGGTGGAGGGAAAAAGTCCGTAGTGTCTTTCTTTGCTGCAGAGATACAAGCAATATATTCATTTCACAGCAGAACCGGCTTGTGAGTGGTTATTTAATATTGCCATAGAGATCCTACAGTCTAACAGCTGCTAGGCCGAGAAAACAAAATGGAGGCTGCTTGGCCTAGAAAAAAAATGGCGGTTGATAGGCTTGCAACACAAAATGTTGGTCGACAGAGCTAAAACAAAACAGCAGCCAATAGAGGTAAAACAAAATGGAGGCTGCTAGGTCTACAATATAAAATTGTGTCCGACAGGCATAAAACACAAGGAAGGCTCAGAACAAAATGGTGGCCGACAGAGCTGAAACCGAATGGCAGTTGGGATTTGGCGCAGGGCCTACCTGTGCCCGTGTTGTGCCAAACCAAAAGGGCTGCACAGAGGAGTGCGACCACAGCCCCGGCCACAAAACGGGCGACCATCATGGGTTCTTCCTCTGGAAAAAGCGAACAACAGAGCAAGGGCCGGGAATGGTAACATCATTAGTGTTGCACTCCAGGACAGGAAAAGCCCTCTGACTTTAAACACCACACAGTTGAGTAGGAAAACAATCCATTCATTGAAGATTATTAAAAAGCAGTAAAGTAAAAAAGCACTTTGAAGGAATAGGTAAATTCATACTCACTGAAGACTTGGAGGCGGAAGAGGAAAATTAATAACTCTTTCTTTTCAGGGATTGTGACCTGAGCCCTGAAAGTGGCCGAGTCCTCTTCTTGCAGGCGGAGGATTTCAATCGTCTTGCAGTCTTCAGAGACATTCAGTCGCCCTTGCAAGCTTATGAGGGTTATGATGGATGAACATTTCTCTCCCTGCTTCAAGACGCCAACGGTATCAACATCCTTTCCCTTCGTTCTCTGCCAAGTAATTATTTCAAATGGTGAGGACAACTTCAGCTGGAAAGCGACCGACTCCCCAACAATCCCGGTCACGTTTTCTGCATTTTCGTCTTCTTCTCCAAAAGTTCCTATGAGTTCAAGAAGAATTGAGGAAATATAATATTATTATATTATAATTAGGTAACTATATTATATTATTATAATATAATCATGATGTTAGCAATACTACAATAATATATTCATTATTATACTATAATTGGGAAATTATATTACAATACAATAATAATAATAATAATAATAGCAATAATAATAATAACCTGCAATAATATAATATAATTAGTTGAACTATATTATATTATTATAATATAATCATAATGTTAGCAATACTGCAATAATATATTCATTATTATATTATAATTAGGAAATTATATTATAATATCATCATCCTCCTCATCCTCCTCATCCTCATCATCCTCATAGAATCCTAGAATCAAAGAGTTGGAGGAGACCTGGTGGGCCATCACCCAGTCCAACCCCATTCTGCCAAGAAGCAAGAATATTGCATTTAAATCACCCCTGACAGATGGCCATCCAGCCTCTGTTTAAAAGCTTCCAAAGAAGGAGCCTCCACCACACTCTGGGGCAGAGAGTTCCACTGCTGAACGGCTCTCACAGTCAGGAAGTTATTCCTCATGTTCAGGTGGAATCTCCTCTCTTGTAGTTTGAAGCCATTGTTCCCTTGCGTCCTAGTCTCCAGGGAAGCAGAAAGGAAGCTTGCTCCCTCCTCCTCCCTGTGGCTTCTTCTCACGTATTTATACATGACTATCATCACGTCTCCTCTCAGCCTTCTCTTCTTCAGGCTAAACATGCCCAGCTCCTTAAGCCGCTCCTCATAGGGCTTGTTCTCCAGGACCTGGATCATTTTAGTCGCCCTCCTCTGGACACATTCCAGCTTAGAGTCAATCTCTCTCTTGAATTGTGCTGCCCAGAATTGGACACAATATTCCAGGTAAAGTGGTCTAACCAAAGCGGAATAGAGCCTGGGGAGCAGGACTTCCCTAGATCTAGACACTATATATAATAATAATATAATAAATAATAATAATAATAATAATAATAATAATAATAGCAATAATAATAATCCACCACCATCTCCCCAAAGGGGACTCGGGGCGGTTAACATGAGGTGAAGTCCAAAAAAATACTGTAATAATACTAAATAATAATTATATTAGGATTCAGGAAGTTCAGAAAGAGAATGTATGATTATTATTAGAGTGTATTATCATTATTATTGTTATTAAATAGCAACAAGCACATTGTCCCAATGCAGGGTTCCCTTGCCCTCTGGGGCTGGACTAGATGGCCTTTGGGGGACCCCTTCCAGGGCTATCTTTTGGTAGGATTCTCTTAAAGGAGCGGAGGCTTACCTGCAAGCAGAGCCACCAGGGCAAGCAGGAAAGGCCCCATTTTGCAGCCGCTTCCTCTTCAGACCTCAGATCAAGAAACCAAAGCTGTATATAGCTCGTCCCCAAAAGGAGGAGGAGGAGTGATGCCTGCCCACTTCCCTTTATGATATATCCTCCTCAAAGAGCATTCTTCCCTCCTTTGGGATTATGCAAATCATCCCATCCTATTTTGCACCAACAATCGCTTTACTGAAGATAATTAAAAAGCAGCTTCATCTGACTACATATCCTGTACTTGGGACTTTTATCTCCTCGTTAAGGTATGTCTCAAGTGCTCAGAAATTGGTTTTGCTTTCGCTTCGAGTCTCTTATCTTCCTCTCTCTGAGCCTCATTTGGGATTTTGCAAATCATCCCATCCTATTTTGCACCAATACATTCCCAAGTACAATTTTTAAGGAAAGTATATCCAATGTAATTTGATTGTTTGCAAAGAATCGTTACCTGGTTGCTCTGCTGGAGCTTCAAAACAAGACCTGGGCCTGACTGTAGTTCAKATCCAGAACTTCCTATTGAACAATTTGGAAGGACAAAAGACCTTTTCCAGAAAATTAGAAACATCGGAGGTAAATTTCAGGCGAAAATTGGCATAAGAAACAAAGATAGGAAGGAGAATAGTACCGAGGATAGTTTTGACGTTGTGGTGAGGGAATTAGAACCAGACATCCTGAGGAGTGAGGTTGGATGGGTTTTAAAAACAAAGATGGTGGCGACCTAACAGAAGCTGAAGAGATCAAGAAAAGATGGCGAGACTATACAGAAGATCTCTATAGGAATCATAATAATATCGAGGATAGTTTTGACGTTGTGGTGAGGGAATTAGAACCAGACGTCCTGAGGAGTGAGGTTGGATGGGTCTTAAAAACAAAGATGGCAGCGACCTAACAGAAGCTGAAGAGAGAGAAGTTGGTGAGACTATACAGAAGATCTTGAAGATAGTTTTGACGCTGTGGTGTGGGAATGATTTATTTGCAAAATAATAGTGGAAAATATAATTGGATTATTTGCACAATATTGCGGGGAAAAATATGATTTATTTGCAATATAATAGTGGCAAATATAATTTGATTATTTGCAAAWTATTRGGGGAAATATTAGAGGAGAATRTGATTTGGAAAATTGCAAAATATTGGGGGRAGGGGAAAATATGATTTGATTATCTGCAAAATATTGGGAGAAATATTAGAGGAAAATATGACTTGGAAAATTGCAAAATATTKGGGGRAGGGGAAAATATGATTTGATTATTTGCMCAATATGATTTATTTGCAAAATAATAGTTGAAAATATAAGTTGATTATTTGCAAAATATTGGGGAAAATATTAGGGGAAAATATGTTTTGAAAAATTGCAAAATATTGGTAGGGGGGAATGTGGTTTGAGGATTTGCTTCGGTAACGAGCCATCTTTCCTTCAGAAGCGCAACCCGAGACCCACCGGAGAGGAGAGGATGCCTACCTGGTTGCCACGGAGACGGGAAACCGATCCCCCCTGGCCATCATCCTTCCTTCCTTCCTTCCTTCCTTCCTTCCTTCCTTCCTCCTTCCTTCCTTCCCTGGGAATTGAGAGCAAAGCATGCCTTCCTCCTCCTCCTCCTCCTCCTGCATTAAATAGAAGGAGATTTGAAATGCAAGGGAAGCAGGACCCTCTGCAAAAGGATTGGGAATACTAAACGGCACCGGTTTGGGGAAAGTCCCGGGAAACTTGGGAAGAGCGGCAAAGAGAGCCTGAAAACCTCAGAGCGCAGCTAATTCTCCAAGGGATTTGGGGAAGGTGGCCGGATCTCTCCAGGTGAGTCCTCCATTGTTGTTGTTGATGTTACTAGACTCATAAGAGTTGGAAGAGACTACAAATAATATTATTATTATTAGGCTACAATTATTACTAATATTATTAGAGTTACAGACTCATAGAGTTGGAAGAGATGACAAAGAATTATTATTACTAATAGGCTAAAATCATTACTATTACTATTATTATTACTATTATTATTAGAGTTACAGACTCATAGAGTTGGAAGAGATGACAAATTATTATTATTATATTATTATTATTATTATTAGGCTACAATTATTACTATTATTAGAGTTACAGACTCATACAGTTGGAAGAAATGACAAATAATAATAATAATAATAATAATAATACTTATTATTATTATTATTATTAGGCTATAATTCTTATTATTACTATTAGAGTTAAACACTCATAGAGTTGGAAGAGATGACAAAGAATTATTATTACTAATAGGCTAAAATTATTACTATTACTATTATTATTACTATTATTATTAGAGTTACAGACTCAGAGTTGGAAGAGATTACAAATAATAATAATAATAATTATTATTATTATTATTAGGCTATAATTCTTATTATTACTATTAGAGTTAAACACTCATAGAGTTGGAAGAGATGACAAAGAATTATTATTATTATTATTAGGCTACAATTATTACTATTATTAGAGTTACAGACTCATACAGTTGGAAGAAATGACAAAGATATATTATTATTATTATTATAATTATTATTAGGCTACAATCATTACTATTATTATTAGTGGTACGGACTCAGAATTGAAAGATATGAGAAAGAATTATTATTATTATTATTATTAGGCTACAATTATTACTATAATTATTAGAATTACGGACTCATTGAGTTGGAAGAGGTGACAAAGAATTATTATTATTATTATTATTATTATTATTATTAGGCTACAATTATTACTATTACTATTATTGTTAGAGTTACGGACTCAGAGTTGGAAGATATGACAAATAATAATAATAATTATTATTATTATTATTACTATTAGGCTACAATTATTACTACTACTATTATTATTATTAGAGTTCCAGACTCACAGAGTTTGAAGAGATTACAAATAATTATTATTATTATTAGGCTACAATTATTACTATTATTATTAGAGTTAAAGAGCTGGAAGAGACTCTACAAATTATTATTATTTATTATTACTATTATCATTATTATTAGTATCATTGAATGGCGATGGCTCAATGATATAGGATGCTGGGAGTTGTGGGAGATATTACATATTATTATTATTATTATTATTATTATTATTATTATTATTGAATTATTATGGGATGCTGGGAGCTCAGTCAAAGAGTTGGAAGAGACTACAAATTATTATTATTACTGTTATTATTGATGTTATTAGTATCATTGAATGGCTGCGGCTCAATGCTATGGGATGCTGGGAGTTGTGGGAGAGATTACAAATTATTTATTATTATTGTTATTATTATTACTATTATTACTATTACTAGCTTTACTCTCCCTCTTTCTCTCCTTCTTTCTCTCCTTCCTTCATTTCCTTTTCTTCTTTCCTTTCTTCCTTCTCTGCCTGTTTACTTCCTTCCTTCGCTCTTGACTTCCAGTCTTCCTTCTCTTTATTTCTTTCCTTCCCTCCCTCTTTCTCTCCTTCTTCTTCCTTTGCTCCGTCTTTCCTCCCTTCCCTTTTTTCTTTCCTTCTCTCCTCCTTCCTTCTCTTCTTCTTTCCTTCCTCCTCCCTTTTTATTTTCCTTCCTCTTTCTCTCCTTTCTTCCTTCTCTATCTCTTTCCTTCCTTCCTTCGCTCTTGACTTCCAGTCTTCCTTCTCTTTATTTCTTTCCTTCCCTCCCTCTTTCTCTCCTTCTTTCTCTTCTTCCTTTCCTCCTCCCTCCCTTCCTTCCTTCCTTCCTTCCTTCCTTCCTTCCTTCCTTCCTTCCTTTTGACACCTTCCCTTCCCTTTCTTCTTTTTTCTATCTTTCTTTCCTTTTCTCCTTCCTTCCTTTCTCCCTTCTTTCCCATCCTCCTTCTCTCTCTGTATTCTTTCTTTCCTACCTTTCTTCTTTCATATACCTTCTCAACTATCCTTCCTTCCTTTCCTTCCTTCCTTTCTCCGTTCGCGCAGCATCCTGGCCCCCAGCGAGCAGGCCGCGTTCTAGAACTACAGTTCCCAGAGTGCATTGCGTGTGTACTTCCTCCCCTGGGCACTGCGCATGCTCAGTTGGTTTTTGTAATTGTGAGTTTGTTGAAATGTTGTTTGGATTTTTGATGAGTGTTGTGCATACCTTGTGGGTTGAGGTATGTGCACGGCAAATTTGGTGAGTTTTTGTCAGGAGGTTTTCGCATTTTGCTGTCCCGTTGAACGCCCTTTCCATTTTTATATATATAGATTATATCCTATTCCTATACGGGCTCCGTTGCACTCTTCCTTCTTGTTGTTGTTGTTGTTGTTGTTGTTGTTATTATTATTATTATTATTACTCTTCCTTCTCAGGCGGATGGCTTTGGAGGAAACTTCCCAGCAGAACGGCAAGGAGAAGCAGGTCCGGAAGAAGGCCCAAAGCGAACGTCCGGCTGAAGGGGAGCCACCCGAGTCCGAGGTGGAGACCCTGACGGCGTCCGGCCACCGGGCCTTGATGTCCGGCCACAACAGGAAGGCCTTGTCCTGCTTCAGGAAAGCCTTAGCCCTTTCTTCCGACACGGGCAACCTCTCGGTCCGACGGACGTGCACCCTCAACCTCGGGGCGGCTTACGTCCAGGCCGGGAAGCCGGGCAAAGGCCTACCCCTGCTCCTCGAGGCCCAAGCGATGACCGACGACCCTTCGGGCGACCTCTTCTTCAACATCGGGGTCGCCCAACAAGGCTTAGGCCACTTCGGTCAAGCTCTGGACGCCTTCCGGGAAGCCCAGGCCCAATACCGCCGCGTCCGAGCCCAGAGCGAGGCCGGAGCCGGGGTCAAGATGGGCCAGTGCCTCGCGGCCATGGGTGACGAGACCCCCGCCGCCCGGTGTTTCCTGGAGGCCGCAAAGGCCGTGTCAGTGGCCGGGGGGCCGGAGGAGGAAGTGGCCGCGGCCCTCGGAGAAGCCGTCCGGCTCGTGTTGCGCAAGGAGGAGGAGGAGGGCGAAGTGGCGGCCGTGTTGCACGAGGGGAGGCAGCTGTGCGAGGCCATCCAGAACAAGGCCCTGCGGGGTAGGCTTGGCCTAATATACTATTATACTTGGATAGACTTATAATAAGTATAATAACCTAACATAATAACATCGTATAAGAATATTAAATTATACAGAAGTTTCCCATGGATACACTGTTATAATATAATAATATATTATAGCAATATAATAATAAATCTAATAATATAATATAATATTATACAGAAGACTCCCATGGATATACTATTATAACATTATTATATTACATTATATTATAGTGATATAATAATAAATCTAATAATATAATATTAGTCTTTCATGGACACACTATTATAATATTATTATATAATAGTACACTATAGCAATATAATAATAAATCTAATAATATAATATTATACAGAAGTCTCCCATGGATATACTATTATAATATTATTATATTATAGCAATATCATAATAAATCTAATAATATATTATTAGTCTCCCATGGAAATACTATTATAATATTATATAATATTATTTTATAGCAATATAATAACAAATCTAATAATATAATATAATATTATACAGAAGTCTCCCATGGATATACTATTATAATATTATATAATATTATATTACAGCAATATAATAAAAAAATTAATAATATAATATTAGTCTCCCATGGATATACTATTACAATATTATTATACAATATTATATTATAGCGATATAATAATAAATCTATTAATATTTTATATTATCCAGAAGTCTCCCATGGATATACTATTATAATATTATTATATTATATTATAGCGATATAATAATAAATCTAATAATATAACATTATCCAGAAGTCTCCCATGGATATAATATTACATTATTATTATACAGTATTATATTATAGCGATATAATAATAAATCTATTAATATAATATTATATTATACAGAAGTTTCCCATGGATATACTATTATAACATTATAATATAATGTTATATTATAAAATAATATAGCAATATAATGATAAACCTAATATTATAATATTATACATTCAATTCTGCCATAATTATGTTGGAAACCGCTCTGAGTCCCCCATCACGGGCGGAAAAGCGGTATACAAGCGAAGTAAACAAACAAACAAACAAATAAATAAGAGGCGGGGCAGGAATACCGGGCTAATCTATGTTAGGGCATGTAAAAAAATTAGTTGGTGAGTGTGTTAACTGAAAAATGCAAAGCGCGAAGCTGATTGGTTGGGCTAAGCCTGGGGAGCTAGCTGAGCCTGGAAGTTTTGGCCACAGTTACATTTTTAGGTTTGAGCTGTGCAGGATCTAGCAAAGAGAAACATGTAAAAAATTAATTGGTGAGTGTGTTAACTGAAAAATGCAAAGCACGAAGCTGATTGGTTGGGCTAAGCCTGGGGAGCTAGCTGAGCCTGGGAGTTTTGGCAACACGTTACATTTTTAGGCTTGAGCTGTGCAGGATCTAGAAGAGAGACCGAGCTTGAGTTCTTGCTTCATGAGTTGCAGGAAAGAGATCTTCTACATGGACACATGAAGACCATTTTGAGTCAATGCAACTGTTGGCATGATTGTATATATGTTGCTTGTTCTTTATTGGTCGTCTGCATGGCATATTTTCTTCGGCTTCGGCTCGTGCGCCAGCTGCGCCCGTATCTTGGGAAGTCTGACTTGGCCACGGTGGTACACGCTTTGGTCACATCCCGCCTCGACTACTGCAACGCTCTCTACGTGGGGCTGCCCTTGAAGACGGCCCGGAAGCTTCAGCTAGTCCAACGCGCGGCAGCCATGTTGTTAACGGGAGCAGGACGCAGAGAGCATACAACGCCCCTGCTGTCCCAGCTCCACTGGCTGCCGATTCGCTACCGGGCCCAATTTAAGGTGCTGGTATTATCCTACAAAGCCCTAAACGGTTCCGGCCCAAAATACCTTGCAGACCGCATCTCGGCCTACGAGCCCACGAGGGCCTTGAGATCATCCGGGGAGGCTCTTCTCTCAGTCCCGCCTGCCTCACAGGCACGTCTGGCGGGGACGAGAGAGCGGGCCTTCTCGGTGGTGGCCCCCCGGCTATGGAACACCCTCCCTGTTGAAGTTAGACAGGCGCCCTCCTTGATGGCCTTTCGTAGGGGCCTGAAAACATGGCTCTTCGAGCAGGCCCTCAACTGAGTGTATCTTGAAATGACACTGGAGTGAACTAGGACTATGAATTTTGGCTATGACCCCAGGACTTGACGAAGCGGATTTTTAGTATAAGTATATGTTATGTTGTATTGTCTGGTTTGTATTGTCGTGATTTATTGTACACTGTCTTTTCTGTTGCTGTTCACCGCCCCGAGTCGCCCTTGGGCTGAGAGGGGCGGTCAATAAATGCAAGAAATAAATAAATAAATAAATAAATAAATAAATTCTCCGGCAAGACTGGCAAACCAGGATCTAGAAGAGAGACCGAGCTTGAGTTCTTGCTTCATGAGTTGCAGGAAAGAGATCTTCCACATGGACACATGAAGACCATTTTGAGTCAATGCAACTGTTGGCATGATTGTATATATGTTGCTTGTTCTTTATTGGTCGTCTGCGTGGCATATTTTCTTTCTCCGGCAAGACTGGCAAACCAGGATCTAGAAGAGAGACCGAGCTTGAGTTCTTGCTTCATGAGTTGCAGGAAAGAGATCTTCCACATGGACACATGAAGACCATTTTGAGTCAATGCAACTGTTGGCATGATTGTATATATGTTGCTTGTTCTTTATTGATAATCTGCGTGGCATATTTTCTTTCTCCGGCAAGACTGGTAAAACGTGAATTTCATTCCACCGTAATCGAGAGGTCCAAACCGGCCGAGTCCAATGTTGACGCATGTCTGTTGTGTTTCCCCTTTTCCAGGGAAGCTCCACCTGGAGATCGGCCTGGGCTTCTCCCAGCTGCGCATCTTCTCCTTGGCGGCCGAGAGCTTTGCGAAGGCGCTCTCCTGTCTGCAAGCGGAGGGAGACGGGGCCGGCGGAGGGGCCCGGGCCTTGGAGGCCTCCGCCCTGCAGAACCTGGGGGCCGCCCACAACGCCCTCCAGAGATACCACTCCGCCCTCGGGCTCCACCGCAAGGCCGCCGACCTCCACAGTCAGTAGGGGCAACCCCCCCCCCCACGGGAAGAAATGCGGGATTGGATCACTTGCAAAATATCGGGGGGGGGGGGATATTGGTGAAAAAGAGGATTATTTGCAAAATATTGGGGAAAATATTTGCAAAATATTGGTAGAAATATTATTTGCAAAATATTGGTGGAAAAAAATTATTTGTAAAATATTGGGGGAGGGAAATAATTTGAAAATATTGATAGGAAATATGATTTGGTTGTTTGCAAAATATTGGGAGGAAACATGGTCCCATCATTGGAATTGTTTGTCAAATAATTGGGGGGGGGATATTGGCGGGGGGGGGAATAATTTGAAAATATTGATGGGAAATATTATCTGATTATTTGCAAAATATTGGGCGGGGGCATAGTCCCATCATTGGAATAATTTGCAAAATAATATAATTTTATTATTTGCATTATATTTGGGAAAATATTTGCAAAATATTGGGGGAAATAATTATGTGCAAAATATTGGGGGAGGGAAACAATTTGAAAATATTGATAGGAAATATGATCTGGTTGTTTGCAAAATATTGCAGGAAACATGGTCCCATCATTGGAATTCTTTGTCAAAATTGGGGGGGAAAATAATTTGATGATTTGCAAAATATTGGGGAAATATTAGTAAAATATTGGGGGAAATAATTATTTGCTAAATATTGGGGGAGCAAAATAATTTGAAAATATTGATGGGAAATATGATCTGGTTGTTTGCAAAATATTGCGGGAAAACAAGGTCCTATCATTGGAATTATTTGTCAAAATTGGGGGAAATATAATTTGATGATTTGCAAAATATTGGGGAAAATATTTGCAAAAATATTGGTGGAAAATAATTATTTGCAAAATCTTGGAGTGAAAGAAATAATTTGAAAATATTGATGGGAAATATGATTTGATTATTTGCAAAATATTGAGGGGGGAATAATCCCATCATTGGAATTATTTGCAAAATAATATAATTTGATGACTTGCAATATTTTGGGGAAAATATTTGCAAAATATTGGGGGGGGGGTAATTATGTGCAACATATTGGGGGGATAATTTGAAAATATTGGTGGGAAATATGATCTAGTTGTTTGCAAAACATTGGTGGGAAAATAACGATGTGGGAACCCCTTTGTGCAGGTACGCTGGGGGAGCGTGGTGGTCAGGGCCAGTGCTTTGCCAACCTGGGCCAGGCGCTGTCGGCCTTGGGGGCCCACGAGGAGGCCGGGGAGGCCTACCTGCATGCCCTGCAGGCCTTCCGGGATGCAGGTGAGGGGCCTCCCTGGAGAGGGGAGGTATGTGGGGGGGGGATCGGTCCCTGGGAGCCCCTCCGGATGATGCCCCCTCTTTCTCCCAACCTCTCCCCCACGGTGAGACCGGGGAGGCCTACCTGCACGCCCTGCAGGCCTTCCGGGATGCAGGTGAGGGGCCTCCCTGGGGGGGAGGTATGTGGGGGGGGGGATCGGTCCCTGGGAGCCCCTCCGGATGATGCCCCCTCTTTCTCCCAACCTCTCCCCCACGGTGAGACCGGGGAGGCCTACCTGCACGCCCTGCAGGCCTTCCAGGATGCAGGTGAGGGGCCTCCCTGGAGGGGGAGGTATGTGGAGGGGGGGGGGATACCTTGGCATTTGGTCCGGATGATGCCCCCTTTCTCTCCCAACCTCTCTCTCTCCCCCACGGTGAGACGGGGAGGCCTACCTGCACGCCCTGCAGGCCTTCCGGGACGCAGGTGAGGGGCCTCCCTGGAGAGGGGAGGTATGTGGAGGGGGGGGGATCGGGCCCTGGGATCCCCTCCGGATGATGCCCCCTTTCTCTCCCAACCTCTCTCTCTCCCCCACGGGGAGACCGGGAAAACCTACCTGCACGCCCTGCAGGCCTTCCGGGACGCAGGTGAGGGGCCTCCCTGGAGGGGAGGTATGTGGGGGGGGGGTCGGGCCCTGGGAGCCCCTCCGGATGATGCCCCCCCCTCTCTCCCAACCTCTCTCTCCCCCCTACCTCCACTAGGCGACCTGCGTGGCCAGGTCCGCTCCTGCGAGGGTCTGGGGTCCACGCGCCTCCTCCTGGGGGACCCCCAACGAGCTACCGCCGCCTACCAACAGGCCCTAGCCCTGCTTGCCAAGACCCAGGTCAGCAGCACAAGACAATGGGGCGCAGGACACCCAAGAAAGGGAGCTTCCACCACAAACATGTCTGTTGTTGTTGTTGTTGTTTACCTTTCAGGACGCTTCGGAGGCGGAGCAGGAGCGGATCGTGGCCCAGTTGACGCAGGCCCTCCAGGCCAAGCTTTCGATGGCCACTCCCAATCACACCCTGCCCACTGACCCCCAAGTGAGTGATGGACCCTACCTTTGTTTCTCCGTCCTTTCTGTCTTGTCTCCCGCCGATTCGTTCTTTCCTTCTTCTCTTCTTTCCAGCATCGCTCCCCAATGACCGCCAGCCTGGCCCGCTTAGACCCATCATCGGCATCGCCTTCGTCGCCGCAGCGGAACAAGAAGGGCTTCCTGCCCATCGCACCCCATGCGAGCCAAGGGTCAGGTCCAGGGAAGGGTCACCTCGGAAGAGGAACCGAGCGGTCTCTGCCCAGATAAGAATAATAATAATGAACATAATATAAAATAATGATACAGATAATAATAATGAACATAATATAAAATAATGATACAGATAATAATAATAATAATAATAATAATAATAATAAACATAATATAAAATAATGATACAGATAATAATAATAATATAAAATAATGATACAAATAATAATAATGAACATAATATAAAATAATGATACAGATAATAATAATAATAATGAACATAATATAAAATAATGATACAGATAATAATAATAATAATAATAATAATAATAATAATAATAATAAACAATATAAAATAATGATAATGAATATAACGGGATGTTTCATTTTTTTTATTTTATATTTATATAAGATATATATACACTTATAGTTGATGTAATGAATTAAGGATGGAATATAAGAGTATTGAAGGTATTGATGTATTCTAAGAAAACCAATAAAAATATATTTGAAAAAAAAGAATAGAACAGAATAGATAATATAACATAATAATATAATATATATCGTATGATATATTAATGTATAATCTATATATCTATAGAAATAAAAATGTAATGTTCGTTATCATTATTTTATATAATAATAATAATATATTCTCTCTCTTAAAAGGAAAATTTTATGAATTACTATTGTTATTTATAAAATACTAGATATCATTTATGTATTATTTACTTCTAAAAGAAATATGGTAAGAAATTATTATTATTATTAATTTATTCTCTCTTAAAAGAAAGGGGAAGAATTACTAGCATTATTATTATTATAACTATTATATTTATACACACAAGAAATAAAAAATATAAAGATAATAATAATAAATAATAATAAATAAATAATAATAAAAATAAAAAATATAAAGAATAAATAATAATAATAATAATAATAAATAAATAATAATAAATAATAATAATAAATAGATAATAATAATAAAGAATAATAATGAACATAATATAAAATAATGATAATAAATAGAACAGGATATTTTTTATTTTTTATATATATTATATTTATATAAGATATATATACACTTATGGTTGATATAATGAATTAAGGATGGAATATAAGAGTATTGAAGGTATTGATGTATTCTAAGAAAACCAATAAAATATATTTGAAAAAAATGAATATAACAGGATAGATAATATAACATAATAATATAATATATATCATATGATATATTAATGTATAATCTATATATGTATATAAATAAAAATGTAATGTTCGTTTGTGGGATTAACATAACCCAAAAACCAAATTAGAATGGCCTTTGTGCCAACACCATTATTATTATTATTATTATTATTATTATTATTATTAAATATATTATCTCTTAAAAGGAAAATTTTTAAGAATTACTGTTATTAATAAAATACTAGATATCATTTATGTATTACTTACTTCCAAAAGAAAATGGTAAGAAATTATTATTATTATTATTATCATTATTATTTATTCTCTCCTAAAAGAAAGGGAAATTTTACAAATTACTATTGTTATTAATATCATTTATGTATTATTTACTTCCAAAAGAAAAATGATAAGAAATTATTGATGCCAAATTAGAATGGCCTTTGGGCCAACACCATTATTATTATTATTATTATTATTATTATTATTATTATTATTATTATTCTCTCATTTTAGGAATTACTATTGTTATTAATAAAACACTAGATATCATTTATGTATTATTTACTTCTAAAAGAAAAATGGTAAGGAATTATTATTATTATATTATTATTAATTTATTCTCTCTTAAAAGAAAGGGGAAGAATTGCTAACATTATATTATTATTATTATTATTATTATTATATTTATACACACAAATAAATAAATATTTATTATAATAATATATATATTATAATAATATAATTATTATAATATTATTCTAATATATATATATATATATATATATATATATATATATATATTCTTTTTCTATATAAATAAAAATGTAATGTTTGTTTGTGGGATTCATATAATCCAAAAACCACTGGACGAATTGACGCCAAATTAGAATGGCCTTTGTGCCAACACCATTATTATTATTATTATTATTATTATTATTATTATTATTATATAATAACATATTCTCTCTTAAAAGGAAAATTTCAAGAATTACTATTATTAATAAAATATTAGATATCATTTATGTATTATTTACTTTTAAAAGAAAAATGGTAAGAAATTATTATTATTACTATTATTATTATATTAATTTATTGTCTCCTAAAAGGGAAATTTTACGAATTACTATTGTTATTAATATCATTTATGTATTATTTACTTCCAAAAGAAAAATAGTAAGAAATTATATTATTATTATTATTATTATTATTATTATTATTATTATATAATAATAATATTCTCTCTTAAAAGGAAAATTTTAAGAATTACTATTGTTATTAATAAAATACTAGATATCACTTACGTATTATTTACTTCTAAAAGAAAAATGGTAAGAAATTATTATTATTATTATATTATTAATTTATTCTCTCCTAAAGGAAAGGAAAATTTTAAGAATTAATATTGTAAAATATGTAAAATAACGTAAAACACGATCCGGCTAGTAATAGATATTATATTGATATATTAATAATAGAAATATAATAGAAAATAAGGATATAAAATAACAAAATATGTAAAATAATGTAAACACGATGCGGATAGTAATAGATATTATATTGATATATTAATAATAGAAATATAATAGAAAATAAGGATATAAAATAACAAAATATGTAAAATAATGCAAAACACGATCCGGCTAGTAATATATATTATATTGATATATTAATAATACAAATATAATAGAAAATAATGATATAAAACAACAAAATATGTAAAATAATGTAAACACGATGCGGATAGTAATAGATATTATATTGATATATTAATAATATAACATAAATATAATAGAAAATAACCATGTTAAATAACAAAATATGTAAAATAATGTAAAACACGATCTGGATAGTAATATATGATATCTTAATAATATAAATATAATAGAAAATATCAATAGAAATAATAAAATATGTAAAATAATGTAAAACACGATCCGGCCAGTAATATATATTATATTGATATATTAATAGTATAAATGTAATAGAAAATAACGATATAAAACATCAAAATATGTAAAATAATGTAAAACACGATCTGACTAGTAATATATAATATATTAATAATATAAATATAATAGAAAATAACGATATAAAATAACAAAATATGTAAAATAATAATAATAACCGTAAGAATATATTATATTTTTAATGCTATGTGTATTTTTGCTTTCAGTCATGCCCCCCGCTTTGCATCCGACCCGTGGGAGAAAAACGGGAGAAAAATAAACAAACAAACAAATAAACAATAGTAATGGGGATGCCCTTTCTTGGGTCTAGGTTCTCCGGGATGCCCCACTGGGCCCCACAACGGAGGGGAGCGCTCCAAAAGGACGGCGTGAACCTGAAGCCCCCCCAGTGCAGACACAGAGCCTCAGGTGAGACAATCCGCTTTGGGTTCTAGTCCAAACTTGGGGACCTGGGAAGGTGGTGATGGCTCATGGCCCCTCCCTTCCCTCGTTTCCCTTCAGGTCAAGGGCCAAACGGGGCCCCCAACGGAGAGGCCATTCCGGCAAGAGACGGGACCCTCGGACGGAGCCCAAGGAGGGGCAGGTGAGGAGCCCTGTGGATTATGGGAAGAGAAGCCCCCTGAGGAGGGAAAGAAAGGGCCGTTTGCTGCCCACAAATGGGGAAAGGGCTCCCTGAGGTCATCTAGTCCAGGCCCCAGGGAGGGGGAACCTTGCAGGCCTTTCCTGTTTTATTATATTATTAATATTATTATCCAATTATTATCATTGGTATTGCTATTATTACATTATTACTATTACATTATTATTATTACATTATTATTGGTATATATGTATTTTATTTTATTTAAATAAAAAACTGACATATTACATTATTATTATATTGTTACATTATAATTTATTACATAATGATACAATGATATTAATATTACATTATTACTATTATATTATTATTATTATTACATTATTAATATTATTATTCGGTTATTACCATTTATATTTACATTATTATTGGTATTGCTATAATTACATTATTACTATTACATTATTATTGGGATATTACATTATTATTATTATTATTATATTATTATTGGCATATTACATTATAATTATACTTTATCACATAATTATACAATTATGTTATTATTACATTATTACTATTGTTGGTATCATTACGTTATTATTATTATTATCATTGGCATTATAATTATTATTATTACATTGTTATTAGCTACATTATTATTAATATACATTATTACATTATTATAATATAGTGATATTATTATTATTATTATTATATTATTACTATTATTGGTAATATTACATTATTATTATTATTGTCATTGGCATTATAATTGTTATTATTATTACATTGTTATTAGCTACATTATTATTAATATACATTATGACATTATTATAATAATATAGTGATATTATTATTATTATTATATTATTACTATTATTGGTAATATTACATTATTATTATTATTATTGGCATTATAATTGTTATTATTACATTGTTATTAGCTACATTATTATTAATATACATTATTACATTATTATAATAATATAGTGATATTATTATTACATTATTACTATTGTTGGTATCATTACGTTATTATTATTGTTATCATTGGCATTATAATTGTTATTACTATTACATTGTTATTAGCTACATTATTATTAATATACATTATTACATTATAATAATATAGTGATATTCTTATTATTATTACATTATTACTATTATTGGTATCACATTATTATTATTCTTATTATCATTGGCATTATAATTATTATTATTACATTGTTATTACATTATTATTGCTATTATTATTATAATTATTACATTGTTATTACATTATTGTTACTATTATTATTATTATTACATTGTTATTACATTATTATTGTTGTTATTATTATTATTATTATTACATTGTTATTACATTATTGTTATTATTATAATTATTATTACATTGTTATTACATTATTGTTATTATTATAATTATTATTATTACATTGTTATTACATTATTATTATTGTTATTATTATTATTACATTGTTATTACATTATTATTGTTATTACATTATTATTATAATTATTACATTGTTATTACATTATTATTATTGTTATTGTTATTATTATTATTATAATTATTACATTGTTATTACATTATTATTGTTGTTATTATTATTATTATTATTACATTGTTATTACCTTATTATTATTATTACCTGTTTCGACCCCAAGGAACTGGCGAGAGGGGCTGAGATCCGCCGTGTGCGCTGTCATGTGACCCAAAGAAAGGTCATGACCTTCTCGAGAAGGAAGGAGGCGGGCCTTGCAGTCAGCTGTCCATCAGATCGGCCTCCCTTACGGATCCCAGCCAATCCTGTTCGGATTAAAACCCGGAGCGGATCCGAGGCACCGGATGCTGGAGGACAAAAACAGGGATGTGAAATCAATAAAACCCTCTATCTTCCGGAAAAGGTTTCTATAATTATCATCATTATCGCAGCTGAGGCTGGATGGCCATCTGTTAGGAGGGATCGAATGGTGATCTTCCTGCCTGGCAGAACGAATGCATCGGACTTGATAGTCTCTAATGGGCCCCACCTCGAAATATACGTAAAATAATAAAATAAAACAACAGAAATCCAAATATAATAATATATAACAATAATATAAAATATAATATATTTCATAATAATATAAAATATTATTTTATATAATATTATATATAATATTGTTACATAAAATAATATATAATATTATATTATAGTGGTCCAACCCCTGTGCCGGTGGGACTGAAGACCGACAGGTTGGAGGTTCGAATCTGGGGAGTGTGGATGAGCTCCCTCTGTCAGCTCCAGCTCCCCATGCAAAGGGGACAGGAGAGAAGCCTCCCACAAGGATGGGAAAAGCATCAAAACATCCGCGCAAACATCCCCTGGGCGCCGTCCTTGCAGACGGCCAATTCTCTCACACCAGAAGCAACTTGCAGTTTCCCAACATATATACATATACACTAGCCGTCCCCTGCCACATGTTGCTATGGCCCAGTCTGTATATATGTGTTTTGTCTGTGTATATATTTGTGCACATATGTCTGTTTGTGTATATATATATACATGTGTATGTGTGTGTGTGTATGGTGTATATATATATGTGTGTATATATATATATGTATGTGTGTATTTGTGTGTTTATATGTGTACATGCATATTGTGTATATGTGTATGCTTGTCTATATGCATATTTGTGTGTATGTATGTGTGTGCATGTGTATTTATTATTTGTCGTGTCAGAGCAACCAGTCGATTACATTACATTTCTAACAGAACAAAGCAAACAAACAGACAAAATACAAAATGTGTGAGTTTGGTATTTGGTTAAATTTCCTTTGACCAGTATCTGGCCACTTGGAGTGCCTCTGGTGTTGCAGCAAGAAGGTCCTCCCTTGTGCATCACGTGGAAGGGCTCAGGGTGCATGGCAGCAGGTGGTCAGTGGTTTGCTCTTCTCTGCACTCGCATGTCATGGACTCCACTGTGTGGCCCCATTCCTTGAGGTTGGCTCTGCCTCTCATGGTGCCAAAGCGCAGTCTGTTCAGCGCCTTCCAAGTCGCCCCGTCTTCTGTGTGCCCAGGGGGAGTCTCTCATTTGGTATCAGCCATTGGTTGAGGTTCTGGGTTTGAGCCTGCCACTTTTGGACTCTCGCTTGCTGAGGTGTTCCAGTGAGTGTCTCTGTAGATCTTAGAAAACTATGTCTAGATTTAAGTCGTCGGCGTGCTGGCTGATACCCAAACAGGGGATGAGCTGGAGATGTCTCTGCCTTGGTCCTTTCACTATTGGCTGCTACTTCCTGGCGGATGTCAGGTGGTGCAATACCGGCTAAGCAGTGTAATTTCTCCAGTGGTGTGGGGCACAGACACCCCGTGATAATGCGGCATGTCTCATTAAGAGCCACATCCACTGTTTTAGTGTGGTGAGATGTGTTCCACACTGGGCATGCGTACTCAGCAGCAGAGTAGCATAGCGCAAGGGCAGATGTCTTCACTGTGTCTGGTTGTGATCCCCAGGTTGTGCCAGTCAGCTTTCGTATGATATTGTTTATAGCACCCACTTTTTGCTTGATGTTCAGGCAGTGCTTCTTGTAGGTCAGAGCACGGTCCAGAGTGACTCCCAGGTATTTGGGTGCGCTGCAATGCTCCAGTGGGATTCCTTCCCAGGTGATCCTCAGAGCTCGGGATGCTTGTCTGTTCTTGAGATGAAAGGCACATGTCTGTGTTTTAGATGGGTTAGGGATCAGCTGGTTTTCCCTGTAATAGGCAGTGAGAGCACCTAGAGCTTCGGAGAGCTTCTGTTCAACCATCTCAAAGCTCCCTGCTTGAGCAGTAATGGCACGATCATCAGCATAGATGAAACTCTCTGTCCCTTCTGGCAGTGGCTGGTCATTGTGTAGATGTTGGACATGGATGGAGCAAGCACGCTCCCCTGAGGCAGGCCGTTCTTCTGTTTCCGCCATCTGCTTCTCTGGCCCTGGAACTCAACAAAAAGCTCCTGTTTTGTAGCAGGTTTCCTATGAGGCGGGTGAGGTGGTCGTCCTTTGTGATATTATACATTTTTCTCAGGAGGAGGCGGTGGTTCACAGTATCATAAGCCGCTGACAGGTCTATGAAGACAGCTCCTGTGATCTGCTGCCTTTCAAAGCCATCTTCTCTGTGCTGAGTCAGGTTCAGCACTTGCGATGTGCAGCTTCTGCCTTTCCTGAAGCCAGCTTGCTGTGGGATCAGACAGGGGTCTGTATGTATATAAATGATAATATAAGAGTAATATAAACATAATATATTGTAATAATAAAATGGTATAATATGAAATAGAATAAAACAGAATAGAATTAATCTAATGAAACATACTTAAATTAAATTAATATGAAAGACTTTAATAATATAAAATGACGTAATATCAAAATGATATAGAATAATAAAATATAGGAAATGTGACAGTATGAAAGTATAATAACAATAATTAGTCTTAATGACCTGGGGTGATAATTGTCGTATTAGAATGGAGGTTTTTAAACTGAGGCGGGTTGGCTTCCTTCAGGTTGCAGGAGTTTCCTTTCTCAAGCGGAAGTCTGAGCGGCCTGGGAGTTGTAGTCCCGCGAGGCCTCGCTCCCGCTGAGCACAAAGCGGGCCTGCTCCTGCCGCAGACTACACCTCCCAGGATGCTTTGGGAGGCGCCTGGATGTGGCGGAGGCCTCGCTCTCGTTTGCGCATGCGCCCCTCCGTGGGCAAGGCGGAAGGACTGCATCTCCCAGGATGCCTTGGGTGTGGCGGAGTCCTCGCTCCTGCTTGCGCATGCGCGCCTCCGAGGGAAGTCCGGAAGACGGAAGCCAAGGGGAGGTTCCCCGGATGTGGTTGGGCGGCGGGGCGCGGCTGCTGGGCCTGGGCCTCCTCCTCGCCCACAGGGGGCCTGGCTGGGCGCAGCGCTGCTCCGGAAAGAGGGGCCCCTGGGCCAAGGCACTTCCGGCACCCTCCTGCCGGGCCGCTCCCGCCGCCACCGTCTCCTCCTCTATGGCCGGTCCCAAGCTGCTCGGGTGAGCCAGGGAGGGAGAGGGCACTGCGCATGCGCAGACTAGGCCGACTAGGCCTAGCCTCCCTCTCCTGCTGTTTAGATTATTATTATTATTATTATTATTCGTTTTATTTATTTATTTAGTGATTCATTTATAGATTACTATATTTATTTTTATATTATTTATTTTATATTATTTATTTTATTGTTCATAAGATTATTAATTTTCTATTATTTCTAATATTTTCTATCTTGACTTCATATTATTTATTTTATTTTTATTCGTTTTATTTATTTATTTTATGATTCATTCATAGATTACTATATTTTATATTATTTATTTTGTTCATGATAAGATTATTAATTTTCTATTATTTCCAATATTTTCTATCTTTATTTCATATTATCTATTTATTTTGATTATTATTATTCGTTTTATTTATTTATTTTATGATTCATTTATAGATTACTGTATTTATTTTATATTATTTATATATTTATTTATTTTTATATTATTTATTTTATATTATTTATTTTATTGTTCATGATAAGATTAATTTTCTATTATTTCTAATATTTTCTATATTTATTTCATATTATTTATTTTGATTATTATTATTCATTTCATTTATTTTATGATTCATTTATAGATTACTATATTTATATTATTTTATTGTTCATGATAAGATTATTAATTTTCTATTATTTCTAATATTTTCTGTATTTATTCAATATTATCTATTTATTTTGTTTATTATTATTCGTTTTATTTATTTTATGATTCATTTATAGATTACTATATTTATTTTATAATATTTATTTTATTGTTCATGATAGATTATTAATTTTCTATTGTTTCTAATATTTTCTATATTTATTCCATTTTTGTTTTATTATTCATTGTAGGTGATTATTTATTTCATATTATTTATGTTATTATCAATTGTAGGTGATTATTGTACATTATTTATTTATTTTATTATTCATTATAGATTACTATATTTATTTTATATTATTTATTTTGTTGTTCATGATAGATTATTAATTTTCTAATATTTTCTGTATTTACTTCATTTTATTTATTTTATTACTCATGGTAGGTTATTATTTATTTTATTATTTGTTACAGAGCATTTTATATTATTTATTTTATTTATATTAATTTTATTGTTCATTATAATTATTCATTTTATATTATTTATTTCATTATTCACTGCAGAATATTATATTTATTTCATGTTATTTATTTTATTATTCATTAAAGATTGTTTATTTCACATTATTTATTATTATTCATTATAGACTATTTTATATTATTTATTTTATTTATATTTATTTTATTGTTCATTATAATTACCGGTATTTGTTTTATATTATGTATTTCATTATTCACTGTAGAATATTATATTTACTTCATATTATTTATTTTATTATTCATTAAAGATTATTTTATATTATTTATTTTATTTATATTAATTGTTCATTATAATTGTTTTATATTATTTATTTCATTATTCAGTGTAGAATATTATATTTATTCCATATTATTTATTTCTTTTATTATTCATTATAGGTTATTTTATATTATTTCATTTGTATTAATTTTATTATTCATGATAATTATGTTTTATATCATTTATTTTATTGTTCATGATAGATTATTAATTTTCTATTATTTCTAATATTTTCTCTTTATTTCATATTATTTATTTTATTATTCATTGTAGATTATTTATTTTACATTATTTATTAATTGCAGATTATTTTATATTATTTATTTAATTTGTATTAATTTTATTGTTCATTATAATTATTGTTTTATATTATTTATTTCATTATTCATTGTTATTTCATATCATTTATTTTATTATTAGTTAGAGATTACTATTTATTTTACATTATTTATTTATTATTATTATTAATTATAATTATATTTATTTTATATTTTTGAATCATTATAGACTATATTTATATTTTTTATTATTTTATATTATTGTTCATGATACATTATTAATTTTGTATTATTTATTCTATTATTCACTGTAGATTATTATATTTATTCTGTATTATTTATTTATTTAGTTATTAGATTACTTTTTACAAATATTTATTTATTTTGTTATTCATTGTAGATTACGTATTTTATATTTTATTATTCATTGTAGATTATTTTTATATCATTTATTTATTTTATTTTCATTATAGAGTATTATATATTGTTTATTTGTATTGTTCACTGTAGATTATATTTATTTTATAATTCGTTATAGATTATTTATATTTATTATTCATTATAGATTTTTTAAATTAAATTTTATGTATTCATTGTAAATTATTATTTTATATTATTTATTTCATTTTTATTAATAACTCATTGCTGTGTCTTTTTATTTTAATGTAAATTATATCCTCTATTTCTCGAAATGCTTGGACACAACTGGACTTAATGTCGGTGGAAACCTTTACCTTTATGTTGTGATTATTTCTGAGGATGCTGACGGTTGTGTTGTTGTTGTTGTTGTCGGACGGCAGGCAGAAGGAGGCGCAGGCGCTGGACCAGGAGCTCTTTGAGTCCTACAAGTTCAGCCTGGACCAGTTGATGGAGCTGGCCGGACTCAGCTGCGCCACCGCCATCGCCAAGGTCAGGCTGGAGGGGGGGCTACCTGCGGAACTCCCTGCCGCAGGAATGGAGGGAGGGGCGGTCCTTCTATGACCTCCACGCCCACTGAGCTCCTCCCCTTTCCTTTCCTGCCCTTCCCTGCAGGCCTACCCGGTGGGCTCCTTTGCGTCCAGCCCTCCGGCCGTTCTGGTCGTCTGCGGCCCCGGAAACAATGGAGGAGACGGGCTGGTCTGCGCACGACACCTCAAGATGTTTGTCAGTCCCCTTATTAGTACTATCACTATTATCATCAATATTATCATTATTATGATCATTATCACTATTGTTATTATTTATCACCATTACTATTATCATTATGATAATTATTTTACTATTTTATTTTAAATGATCATTATCACTATTATTATTTTTGCTATTATTTATCATTATTACAATTATTACTATTATTTTAGTATTATTTTAATATCATTATTATAATCGTTATTACGTTCATTATCACTATTATTTTTTGCTATTATTTATAATTATTACAATTATTACTATTATCGTTACGATCATAGTAACGATAATAGGGGGGTCTGTGTGCCTAGTTTGGTCCAGGTCCATCATTGGTGGGGATCACAGTGGTTTCTAGAAGTGAGTGAAGGTACTACAGATCCCATCATCCTTGGTCCATCCTCCCCCAAACCGCACCAGTATGTTCTGTTGGTCATTTGGGGAGGAGGGTCTGTGTGCCTAGTTTGGTCCAGGTCCGTCATTCATGGGGGTCACAGTGATCTCTGGAAGTGATTGAAAATACTGCAAATCCCATCATCCTTGGTCCATCCTACCCCAAATCACACCAGGAGGCAAAATGGGTAATGGGGGGGGGGGGGGTCTGTGCGCCTAGTTTGGTCCAGGTCAGTCATTGGTGGGGATCGCAGTGGTCTCAGGAAGTGAGTCAAGTTACTGCAAGTCCCATCATCTATGGTCCACCCTCCTCCCAGAGGGTTATGGGAGAGGCAGTAGGTGGGGTCATGCAAATTCCACACCAATGGGGAGAGAGGAAAGAACACTGGGATGTTTCTGGTAGGAAATGCTGGGTCACGGTGGGGTCCTTATATTATTATTATTGTTGTTGTTGTTGTCTCACTTTGCAGGGCTATGAGCCGACGGTGCATTACCCGAAGCGGCCCTCCAAGGCCCTTTTCGAAGGACTGGTCACTCAGTGCCAGAAGATGGACATCCCCTTCCTGCCCGAGTTCCCCCCCGAGGTAAGGAAGGAATGCGGCCGACTGGCCCTCTGCCGGGAGGGATCACATGGAGCAGAGGGGAAGGGGTTGGGCTGGGTGGCCTTTGGCGGACCCCCTACCTCCCTCTCTCTCTTTCTCTCTCTCCCTTTGCAGGCGGGGCTCATAGACGAGCTGTACGGGCTGGTGGTGGACGCCATCTTTGGCTTCAGCTTCCAGGGGGCCGTCCGAGAGCCCTTTGCGGGCATCCTGGGCGTCCTGGAGAAGGTCACCCTCCCCATCGCCAGCATCGACATCCCCTCCGGTCAGCCCCCCCCCCCCGGGACATTCGCATACGGGTCACGCACAGTAGGCACTCGGTCAACCCGAGACCCCCCTTGGGTGGGGAGGGGAAGGAATAACAATAGTAGTAGTAGTAGTAGTAGTAGTAATAATAATAATAATAATAATAATAATAATAATAATAATAATAATAGACACAGTTACTGTGTTTGGTGACAGATCTATATCTGTTATAGCATCCTAGGGTTAGTAAGGGCCCCCCAAAGGGCATGCAGCCCACCCTCTCTTTAGCGAGGCAGGAAAAGCACCACCAAAGCCCTCCAGACAGATAGCCGTCCAGACTAATAATAATAATAATAATAATAATAATAGAATGGAATCCTAGGGTTGGAATAATAATAATAATAATAATAATAATAATAATGACGCTCAGTGAACCTAGGGCGCCCAATGGGATTGGGAGGCTTAATAGTAATAGTAATAGTAGTAATAATAATAATAATAATAATAATAATAATAATAATAATAATGGGTTTACTAAGGGTCTATTATGTTATTTTTTGGGTTTACTATAGTATATTCATGGGAGTGTTCTGTATGATATTATCATTATTATTATTATTATTATTATTATTATGCATTTACTAAGGGTCTATTATATTATTATCATTATTATGGGTTTACTAAAGATTTATTACATTATTATTATTATTATTATTATTATTATTATTATTATGGGTTTATTAAGGGTATTAGTATTATTGTTGTTGTTATGCATTTACTAAGGGTCTATTATATTATTATCATTATTATGGGTTTATTAAATAGTTATTACTTTATTATTATTTTGGGTTTACTAAGAGTATTATTATTTCTTGGAATAATAATAATAATAATAATAATTATTATTATTATTATTATTATTATTATTATTATACCTTAGTAAACCCATGGTTCCCATTCGGATTGGGAGATAGCAGATCAATAATAGCAACAACAACAACAACAACAACAATAATGTAAACTTAATTATAGTTATACTGGTAACTCCATAATTATAATAATAACAATATTAATAATAGTGCTTTGCAGGCTGGGACATGGAGAAAGAGCAGCTAGGCAGACCTCTTCATCTCGCTGATTACAATAACAATAATATTAGTAATTGGGCTTGAGAAATGCAATAATAATAATAATGGTAATAATAATGGTAATAATAATAATACCTTAGTAACCCCATGGTTCCCATTGATTATGAGTTTTATTGTGTATTGTTATGTTGTTGTTGTCGGCGGTCTTGGCCTTTAGAAGCTGCATTGAGTCCTTCGGGAGATTTTGTGGGGTATAAATAAAATTAATAATAATAATAAGAATTAATAATTGGGATTGGGAAGACAGCAGATTAACAACAACAACAACAATAATAATGTAGACTCAATTATAGTTATGATGTAAACTCCGTAACAATAATAAAATGACAATAATAATATGAATACTAATAATACTAATTTATGCTGTGCTTTGCAGGATAAAAATAACAATGATCATAAATATGGTTCTAATAATACAATATAATACAATAGGATACATATAATAATGAATATATATATAAATATGATAATGGGGACATGGAGAGGGTATCCAGCCGGACCTCCTCATCTCTAGGATTACAATAATAATAATAATAATAATGTAGACTGTCATTGGGAGATGCATGATTAATATCAATACTAACGATGCGCCCTGTGTTTTTCAGGCTGGGATGTGGAGAAGGGGCACCCGGAGGGCATCCAGCCGGACCTCCTGATCTCGCTGACGGCCCCCAAGATGGCGGCCAAGCACTTTGGGGGCCGCTACCACTTCCTGGGGGGCCGCTTTGTGCCCAAGGCCCTGGAGGAGAAGTACGGTCTGCGCCTGCCCCCCTACCCGGAGACCGACTGCGTCCTGCGCCTCTCCTGAGGGGAGGGGAGGGGAGGGGAGGGGGGGCAGGGGACACCTCGACCTCCCTGCGGACCGGTCACAAGATTCGTTTCTCCAGGTTTGGTCTTCACAACATTCAGAAGAGATGGAAACTCAGGTGCTCAATAAAAGAGATATTGCAATTATTTGGTTTCCATGGAGAGCTCCTCCTTATTGCCCGGCCACGGGAATACACTATATATTACGTCCTGAGGGGCCCCCAGAGGCCATCTAGACCTCCCTCCCCACGGATGGGACGCAAGACTCTTCCCTTGGACCCGGTTCTCAAAACAGACCCCCAATACAAGACGTATCGCAGGCATTTAGTTCCCGATCGAACTCATCCATTCCCAGTCGCGCTATTATTGCGCCAGTCAGTGAGCCATACCTGCTTTTGCGACTTACACAACATAAGAGAAATATCATAGTCAATCTCGTGTATAGATTGCCTCTCAATAACAATAATAGAAAAATAATTAATTAATAATTAAACTATTAATAAATAATAATTAAATAATTAACATTAATTTTTAATTTTATTATTAATAGAAAAATAATAAATAATAATTAAATTACTAATAAATAATAATTAAATTATTAATTACATTATTAATTACATTATTTTATTTCCCACCACTTCTCTCTCATAGCCTCCCTTTTCAATAGTGAAATTAATAATGCATGTTTAATCACCTGCCACCTTCATGTTTAGTAACTAAATAATAAATATTACTAATACTATTAAGATACTTCTTATCGCAGCATTTTGAATAAGGTATATTCAACCTGAATCTATAATATAATGTATTAATATAATGTAATATAATATAATGTAATATACATTTAATATTTATAATATTACAATATAGTGTAATGCAATATAATACTAATAATATTATATTTATATATATTTATATTACATGTAATATTACTAATCATATTACAATATGATAGTACAATATAGTAATATTTAATACTGATATTATTCTGATAATAATGTAATATATTTATAATATAGTTTAATACAATATAATTCTAATAATATGATATTATGATTATATATTTATATTACATGTAATATTATTAATATTACAATATAATGGTATAGTAAAATATAGTAATATTTAATAATGATATTGTTCTATGCTAATAATACCATATAGAATCATAGAATCCTAGAATCCTAGAGTGGGAAGAGACCTCCTGGGCCATCATCCAGTCCAACCCCATTCTGCCAAAAAGCAGGAATATTGCATTCAAATCACCCCTGACAGATGGCCATCCAGCCTCTGTTAAAAGCCTCCAAAGAAGGAGCCTCCACCACACTCTGGGGCAGAGAGTTCCACTGCTGAACGGCTCTCACAGTCAGGAAGTTCTTCCTCATGTTCAGATGGAATCTCCTCTCTTGTAGTTTGAAGCCATTCCTCCCTTGCGTCCTAGTCTCCAAGGAAGCAGAAAGGAAGCTTGCTCCCTCCTCCTCCCTGTGGCTTCCTCTCACATATTTACACATGGCCCTCATCATGTCTCCTCTCAGCCTTCTCTTCTTCAGGCTAAACATGCCCAGCTCCTTAAGCCACTCCTCATAGGGCTTGTTCTCCAGACACTTGATCTACTCCCTCCTCCCTGTGGCTTCCTCTCACATATTTATACATGGCTCTCATCATGTCTCCTCTCAGCCTTCTCTTCTTCAGGCTAAAGATGCCCAGCTCCTTAAGCCGCTCCTCATAGGGCTTGTTCTCCAGACCCTTGATCATTTTAGTCGCCCTCCTCTGGACACATTCCAGCTTGTCAATATCTCTCTAATCCTGCCGTATAATAATAAGATATTATAATTATATATTTTATTACATGTAATATTACTAATAATATTACAATATAATGGTATAGTACAATATAGTAATATTTAATACTGATATTTTACTATGCTAATAATATAATATATTGTATGTATATATACCTTGTAAGCCTCTCTGAGTTCCCTCTGGAGTGAGAAGGGTGGCATACAAATATCGTAAATAAATAATAAGATAATAAATGTTATTGATTACCCACCGCTTCCATCCATGAGACCCCTATATTCCTAATAATATATTAATTGTATCTATGATACTAATAATATATTAATATACAATATATTAATGTTATTAATTATTAATAATGTATTAATTGTATCTATGATACTAATAATATATTGATTAACATACAATATATTAGTTATTAATTATTATTAATAATGTATTAATTGTATCTGACTGGTTGTCCTGACATGACAAATAAATAAATAAAATAAATAAATAAATTGTATCTATGATACTAATAATATATTAATATACAATATATTAATGTTATTAATTATTAATAATGTATTAATTGTATCTATGATACTAATAATATATTGATTAACATACAATATATTAGTTATTAATTATTAATAATGTATTAATTGTATCTATGATACTAATAATATATTGATTAACATACAATATATTAGTTATTAATTATTATTAATAATGTATTAATTGTATCTGACTGGTTGTCCTGACATGACAAATAAATAAATGAAATAAAATAAATAAATAAATTGTATCTATGATACTAATAATATATTAATATACAATATATTAATGTTATTAATTATTAATAATGTATTAATTGTATCTATGATACTAATAATATATTGATTAACATACAATATATTAGTTATTAATTATTATTAATAATGTATTAATTGTATCTGACTGGTTGTCCTGACATGACAAATAAATAAATAAAATAAAATAAATAAATAAATTGTATCTATGATACTAATAATATATTAATATACAATATATTAATGTTATTAATTATTAATAATGTATTAATTGTATCTATGATACTAATAATATATTGATTAACATACAATATATTAGTTATTAATTATTATTAATAATGTATTAATTGTATCTGACTGGTTGTCCTGACATGACAAATAAATAAATGAAATAAAATAAATAAATAAATTGTATCTATGATACTAATAATATATTGATTAATATACAATATATTATTATTCACTATTATTAATAATATATTAATTGTATCTATGACCCCCCGCTCCCCTCTCTGAGGCCCCTATATTTTTAATAATGAAATAAATAATACTATAATAGTTATTAATTACTCACCGCTCTCCTCTACAAGGCCTTGACCCTCCTTTCTAACCAATGTAAACATTACGATCAATCCCGAAGGAGAAGCAGACCCGCCTTCCGTTTATTATTCCGATCTCAAAGAGGGTGAATTATGACCAGCCCCCCAAAGAGTTATTTGGACCCCGAATGATTGGCATGATGTCCTTTCCTTTTCCTCTTGGCCTTCTTCTTCCGCCCGTGGCTTGGCTCCTCCCCCATGTTTTCCTCCTCCTCCTCTTCTTCTTCCTCCTTCCTTTTCTTCTTCTTCTTTTTGGGCCTTTCTCCTTCTCCTTCTCCTTCCAGGTTCTCGAGGGCGCCTTCCTTCCGCCTTGGGGCCTTTCTCTCCCCCTTCTGCTCCGAATGTGGGGCTTTCTGGGGGAGGGATTTGGCCAGGAAGGCCGCCTCCTGCTCCTCCAGGCGGGCCAGTTTGGCACTCATGGTGAAGCCGTGCCTCGCCCCTCTAGGAAGAGGAAGGAACAAAGAGAGAGAGAGATGGAGGGGGGCCCAGAGGTCATCTAGACCAAACACCGCATTGCCATGTATTGGGCAAAACTCCACTGCACACAATAGGAGTCAATACTTCTAGGCAAATTTATTATTACAATCACTGATCATTATTTTTATTATTATTTATTATCATAATTACGATCATTTATTATTTCCATGAATATTTTTATTTATTATTAAAATATTATTTTTACTATTATTTATTATCATTATTACAATCATTTATTTCCATGAATATTTTTTATTTATTATTACAATCACTTATTATTTTTACTATTATTATGATAATTTATTATTTTCATGAATATTTTTATGTATTATTACAGTCAATGATCCTTATTTTTTCTATTATTATTACGATCATTTATTATTTTAAGGAATATTTTTATTTATTACTGCAATCACTGATCCTTATTTTTACTATTATTATTTATTATCATTATTGCGTTCACTTATTTCCATGAATATTTTTATTTATTACAATTACTGATCATTTTTTGGCTATTATTATTTATTATCATTATTATAATCATTTATTATTTCCATGAATATTTTTATTTATTATTAAAATATTATTTTTACTATTATTTATTATCATTATTACATTCATGTCTTATTTCCATGAATATTTTTATTTATTATTACAACCACTTATAATTATTTTTACTATTATTATTTATTATCATTATTATGATCATTTATTATTTCCATGAATATTTTTATTTATTATTGAAATATTATTTTTACCATTATTTATTATCATTATTACATTCATTTATTTCCATGAATATTTTTATTTATTATTACAATCACTTATTTTTTTTACTATTTTTTACTGTATTATTATTTTTACTATTATTTATTATCATTATGATAATTTATTATTTTAATGAATATTTCTATGTATTATTACAATCACTGGTCCTTATTTTTTCTATTATTTTTACGATCATTTATTATTTTAATGAATATTTTTATTTGTTACTGCAATCACTGCAATCAGTGATCCTTATTTTCACCATTATTTATTATCATTATTAAAATTATTAGTTTTGTTATCTTTTATTATTACAGTATCAACTATCATTAAGAAAATCATTGCTATTATTTTTATTATTACTATTATTTTTATTTAAAATTACTTTTAATTATCATTAGTTTTACTGTTAATTTTATTATTATGACAATCATTACTATTATTTTTATTTACTTTTACTTATTATTATTATTATGATTACGACTATGACCCCCCAGATGCATCTTCCCCCCTCCCTCACTCACTTGTGGGCGGTGCGTCCCCCGCAGGCCTTGACCAGCTCCTCGTCGGTCAGTCTGCGGAGAGAAAGGGCGCAAAGGTGAGCTTGTCCTTGGCACAGAAGGCCCCCAAAGGGTCAAGCGGGCACTGCTGGGCAGACTGACCTTTTCGCGGAGGACAGGTCCAGTTTGGCCTCTTCTTCCTCGCTGCTGCTGTCCGAAGGGTGGACCGGGTTCAAGGGCTCCTCCCCTTTGGACGTCAAGGTGGACGCCTGGGAAAAGACCCCCAAAGGTCATCAAGGTTAAACACATGCGAAAAGATAGGGGTCTCCTCGGGGGAGAGGAAAAACGGGGGTAAGGAAACATGAATAATAATGATAATATTAATAATAATATTAATAATAATAATAATAATAATTTCTAATATTAACAATCGATATTGGTAGGCTGTTAGGAATTGTGGGAGTTGAAGTCCAAAACACCCGGAGGGACGAAGTTTGCCCGTGCCTGGGTTAACCCACGGATTGTGATCATAAATATAATAATATAATAATCTGTCACCTAGAATAATCATAATAATAATGATTACTGCAACGCTCTCTACGTGGGGCTGCCCTGGAAGACGGCCCGGAAGCTTCAGCTAGTCCAGCGCGCGGCAGCCATGTTACTAACGGGAGCGGGACGCAGGGAGCACACAACGCCCTTGTTGTCCCAGCTCCACTGGCTGCCGATCTGCTACCGGGCCCAATTTAAGGTGCTGGTGTTAGCCTACAAAGCCCTAAACGGTTCCGGCCCAAAATACCTTTCTGACCGCATCTCGGCCTATGAGCCCACGAGGGCCTTAAGATCATCTGGGGAGGCCCTTCTCTCGATCCCGCCTGCCTCACAGGCACGTTTGGCGGGGACGAGGGATAGGGCCTTCTCGGTGGTGGCGCCCCGGCTATGGAGCACCCTCCCTGTGGACATCAGACAGGCGCCCTCCCTTATGTCATTCCGCAAGAGCTTAAAGACATGGCTATTCGAGCAGGCGTTCAACTATTACAACAACTGGCATTGATGACTGGAACGGAATATGGAATACGAGATTGGTTTACGATTTTACGATGAGACGACGCGGATGATTTAGAGTAATTATTGTTGTATTATTGATGTTTGTGCTTATTGTGTTGTATGAGGGTTGTATTGTAAACTGTTTTTATATGTTGTACACCGCCGTGAGTCGCCCGAAAGGGCTGAGAACGGCGGTCAACAAATGCAATAAATAAATAAATAAATAAATAATAAGATAAACAATCATAAATATGGCAATTATAATAAACATAATAAATATAACAATACAATGATAAATATAATAATGAATATAAATATAAATATGATAATATAATAATGATAATAAATACGGCAATTATAATATAATAAATATAACAATACTATATGATACATACAATAATGAATATAAATATAAATATGATAATAAATATAATATTAAATATGATATCTATAATAATATAAATATAACAATGATCATAAATATGTCAGTTATAACATAATAAATATACTAATACGATATGATAACTACAACAATGAATATAAATATAAATATGATAATAAATATAAGTATAATATTAAATATGATATCTATAATAATATAACAATGATCATAAATATGGCAATTATAATAAATATAATAATACAATGATACATATAATAATGAATATAAATGTAATAAAAATAAGGTAACTGTAATATTAAATATGATACCTATAATAATATGATAAATACAAGAATGATCATAAATATGGCAATTATAATAAATATACTAATACAATATGATAAATGCAATATGATAAATATAATAATGAATATAAACATAAATATGATAATAAATATAACAATGATCATAAATATGGCAAAATAATACAATAAATATAATAATACAATATGATAAATATAATGAATATAAATATAAATATAAAAAATAATATTAAATATGATATCTATAATAATATGATAAATATAAGAATGATCATAAATATGGCAATTATAATACAACAAATATAATACAATACATATGATACATATGATAATGAATATAAATATACATACAATAATAAACATAACTATAATAATAAATATGATACATTTAAAAATAAAAATAATCCGGAGAATCCTTATGGCACTGACCTTGATGAAGTGCCCGTACAGCATGTCCTTGCGCTTGAGGGCTTTCCGGGGCTTTTTGTTGCGGGCAGGGGGCTCTTCCTCCTCCTCAGAGACCTTTCCCACCTGGACGCCATTCTGGGGGGAAGCATTCATTGGCAAACTCAACCTGGAGCTGGCTTGGCCTGCATGGAGGCCCAGAGAAAGCCAGGATGGACTAGATGACCTCTGGGGGCCCCTCCCTCCCTCCCTCTGGTGGGTCTCCCTTACCTGTCCTGGCTGGACGGAGATCTTGGCGGCGGAAGCGTTGAAGAGGTGGTCCCACCAGTGGAAGGAGAAGGCCTCCCCCGGATCGTGGCCCACCTGCCGGGAAGGAGGGAAGGAAGTAAAGGAGGAAGTATTTTCTTACTATTCTCACATTATTATTATTATTATTATTATTACAGATACTATTATTACTAGAGAGAGAGAGGAAGGAAGAGAGAGGGTGCTCACCCCGGCCGAGTCGCACTTGACCTTGACCCGGATGGCCTCCGAGATGCCCGTCTCACGCTTCCCCAGCCCTTTCCCTGAAGGAAGGAAGAGAAAGGAGAGAGAGGAAGGAAGGAAGCAGGAAAAAAGACAGGGAGGAAAGGAGAAAGGAAGAAAGTAGTGGAAGAAGAGAAGGAAAGAGAAAGGAAAGAAGGAAGCGAAGAGAAAGGAGAGAGAGGAAGGAAAGGAAGTAGGGGAGGAAGAGAAGGAAAGAGGAAGGAAAGAAGGAAGAGAAAGGAGAGAGGAAGGAAGGAAGGGAGGGGAGAGAAAGAAGAGAGAGAGGAAGGAAGGAAAAGACAAGGAGGAAAGGAGAAAAGAAGGAAGTAGGGGAGGAAGAGAAGGAAAGAGAAAGGAAAGACGGAAGGAAGGGAGGGAAGAGAAAGGAGAGGAAGGAATGAAGAAGAAAGGAAGGAAGGAAGGAAAAATAGGGAGGAAAGGAGAAAGGAAGTAGGGGAGGAAGAGAAGGAAAGAAGGAAGGAAGGAAGGAAGGGAAGAGGAAGGAGAGAGAGAAAGGAAGAAAGATGCAAGGAAAAGAAAGGGAGGAAAGGAGATATTTATTCATTTTAAGTAAAAAAAATAAATAACGGGGAAAGGAAGGAAGTAGGGGAGGAAGAGAAGGAAAAAGAAAGGAAAGAAGGAAGAGAAAGGAGAGAGGAAGGAATGGAGGGAAGGAGGGAGGGAAGAGAAAGGAGAGAGAAAGGAAGAAGGAAGCAAGGAAAAGACAGGGAGGAAAGGAGAAAGGAAGTAGGGGAGGAAGAGAAAGGAAGAGGAAGGAAGGAAGGATGAAGGAACAGAAGAGAAAGGAGAGAAAGGAAGAAGGAAGGAAGCAAGGAAAAGACAGGGAGGAAAGGAGAAAGGAAGGAAGTAGGGGAGGAAGAGAAGGAAAAAGAAAGGAAGGAAGGAGGAGAGAGAGGAGAACATTCGGTTAAAATCCATTTGAACGTTATTATCAGCCATATAAGAATCCGGGGAACAGTGCGAGCTCCCGCTGTTAGCCCCAGCTTCTGCCAACCTAGCAGTTCGAAAACATGCAAGCTGTTTTGGTAGCTTCCTTCGTGGGAGAAAAGTGGAATATAAACAAAGATTTAGTGTTGGGTTGCTGTGAGTTTTCCGGGCTATCTGGCCATGTTTCAGAAGCATTCTCTCCTGACGTTTCTCCCACATCTATGGCAGGCATCCTCAGAGGTTCTAGGCAGGTGAGGTTTCTATATCTGTGGAATAATGTCCAGGGTGGGAGAAAGAACTCCTGTCTGCTTGAGGCAAGTGTGAATATTGCAATTGGCCAGCTTGATTACCTTGATTAGCTCTCTTCTGCCTTTGTCAGACCACATTATCTGGAACCACACTGTGTCCAGTTCTGGGCAGCACAACTGAAGGGAGAGGTTGACTCTAAGCTGGAATGCTGTGTCCAGAGAACGAGGGCGACTCAAATGATAAAAGGTCTGGAGAACAAGCCCTATGAGGAGTGGCTTAAAGAGCTGGGCCCTGGAGAATAGGATGCAATGGGACAATGGCTTCAAATTACAGGAAAGCACCTGGACATGAGGAAGAACCTCCTGACTGTGAGAGCCGTTCAGCAGTGGAACTCTCTGCCCCTGAATGTGGTGGAGGCTCTTTCTTTGGGAGCTTTGAAACAAAAGCTGGATGGCCATCTCTCAGGAGGGCTCGGATCCTGTGTCCCTCCATAGCAGGAAAGGAGATTCCACCTGAACATGAGGAAGAACTTCTTGACTGTGAGAGAGAGCTGTTCAGCAGTGGAACTCTCTGCCTCAAAGTGCGGTGGAGGCCTTTAAACAGAGGCTGGGTGGCCATCTGTCAGGGGTGCTTTGAATGCAATGTTCCTGCTTCTTGGCAGAATGGAGTTGGACTGGATAATGGCCCAGGAGGTCTCTTCCAACTCCAGGATTCTATGTGAGAGCTGTTCAGCAGTGGAACTCTCTGCCTCGGGAGTGTGGGGGAGCCTCCTTCTTTGGAGGCTTTTAAGCAGAGGCTGGATGGCCATCTGTTGGGAGGGCTTGGATCTCATGTCCCTCCATAGCAGGAAAGTAGATTCCACCTGAACATGAGGAAAAACTTCCTGACTGTGAGAGAGAGCTGTTCAGCAATGGAACTCTCTGCCTCAGAGTGTGGTGGAGACCTTTAAAAAAGAGGCTGGGTGGCCATCTGTCAGGGTTGCTTTGAAGGCAATATTCCTGCTTCTTGTCAGAATGGGGTTGGACTGGATGATGGCCCAGGAGGTCTCTTCCAACTCCAGGATTCTATGTGAGAGCTGTTCAACAGTGGAACTCCCTGCCACTGAGTGTGGTGGAGGCCTTTAACCAGAGGTTGGGTGGCCATCTGTCAGGGTTGCTTTGAATGCAATTTTCCTGCTTCTTGGCAGAATGGGGTTGGACTGGATGATGGCCCAGGAGGTCTCTTCCAACTCCAGGATTCTATGCGAGAGCTGTTCAACAGTGGAACTCTCTGCCTCGGAGTGAGGTGGAGGCTCCTTCTTTGGAGGCTTTGAAGCAGAGGCTGGGTGGCCGTCTGTCAGGGGTGCTTTGAATGCAATATTCCTGCTTCTTGGCAGAATGGGGTTGGACTGGATGATGGCCCACCAGGTCTTTCCCAACTCTAGGATTCTATGACTGTGAGAGCTGTTCAACAGTGGAACTCTCTGCCTCGGAGAGAGTGTGGTGGAGGCTCCTTTTTCGGAAGCTTTGAAGCAGAGGCTGGATGGCCATCTGTTGAGGGGGCTTTGAATGTGATTTTCCTGCTTGATTTCAAACAACAACAAAGGAGATTCCATCTAAACCTGAGGAAGAACTTCCTGACTGTGAGAGAGAACTGTTCAGCAGTGGAACTCTCTGCCTCGGAGTGTGGTGGAGGCTCCTCCTTTGGAGACTTTGAAGCAGAGGCTGGATGGCCATCTGTCAAGCGTGCTTTGAATGTGATTTTCCTGCTTCTTGACTTCAAACGACAAGGAAGGAGATTCCACCTGAACCTGAGGAAGAACTTCCTGACTGTGAGAGAGAGCGGTTCAGCAGAGGAACTCTCCGCCTCAAAGCGTGGTGGAGACGTTTAAACAGAGGCTGGGTGGCCATCTGTCAGGGGTGCTTTGAATGCAATATTCCTGCTTCTTGGCAGAATGGGGTTGGACTGGATGATGGCCCAGGAGGTCTCTTCCAACTCCAGGATTCTATGCGAGAGCTGTTCAACAGTGGAACTCTCTGCCCCTGAGTGTGGTGGAGGCCTTTAAACAGAGGCTGGGTGGCCATCTGTTGGGAGTGTTGAATGCAATGGGGTTGGACCGGATGGACTACCAGGTCTCTTCCAACTCCAGGATTCTATGCGGGAGGTGTTAAACAGTGGAACTCCCTGCCCCTGAGTGTGGTGGAGGCCTTTAAACAGAGGCTGGGTGGCCTTCTCTCGATAGTGCTTTGAATGCAATGGGGTTGGACTGGATGGACTACCAGGCCTCTTCCAACTTCAGGATTCTATGCGAGAGCTGTTCAACAGTGGAACTCCCTGCCTCGGAGTGTGATGGAGTGGAGGCTTTGAAGCAGAGGCTGGATGGCCATCTCTTGGGAGGGCTTGGATCCCGTGTCCCTCCATAGCAGGAAAGGAGATTCCACCTGTACATGAGGAACAACTTCCTGACTGTGAGAGAGAGCTGTTCAGCAGTGGAACTCTCTGCCTCAAAGTGCGGTGGATGCCTTTAAACAGAGGCTGGGTGGCCATCTGTCAGGGGTGCTTTGAATGCAATGTTCCTGCTTCTTGGCAGAATGGAGTTGGACTGGATAATGGCCCAGGAGGTCTCTTCCAACTCCAGGATTCTATGTGAGAGCTGTTCAACAGTGGAACTCCCTGCCTCGGAGAGAGTGTGGTGGAGGCTCCTCCTTTGGAGGCTTTGAAGCAGAGGCTGGGTGGCCATCTGCTGGGAGTGCTTTGAACAGGACGCTCCTCTGCCTTAGGATAATAATGAAATAAACACGCCCAGCTCTTTAGGCCGCTCCTCATGGGGATTGTTCCCCAGAGCATTTTTAATGAGAGGGCGGGGCACAAAGATAGTAAATAAGTAAATAAATATTATTATTACGATGATGATTAAAGGAATAAAACCCTAACCTTTCTCCCATCCTCGGCGCCGCATCTCTTTCTCGGCGAAGGCTAAACCGCGGCTCCTCACTTCCGCCGCCATCTTGAAAAGGCCGCGCCGGAAATGAAGCCTCCCCCTCGGAAGCCCCGCCTACTTCCGGGGCGGAGTTCTGTAGACAAAGCCGCGCCTGCTTTAGGGGAGGAGCCACCAGGAGGCACGCCCCCTCTCCTTACCCACCAATAGGAATGGCTCTGTTGATAAAGCCCCGCCTGCTTTAGGGGAGGAGCCATATGGAGGCACGCCCCTTCTCCTTACCCGCCAATAGGAATCCCCTTCTGTGCGGACTACATCTCCCGGCATGCCTTCGGGAAGAAAGGCATAGAGGAGCCTGGGAGATGTAGTCCCAAAGGAGAAAACTGGCTGTGTTATGTCTGTTAGGTTTTGAGATTGAGGATTATGCTTTATGTGTTCATTTTGGGTTTGTGTGTATGTATCTAAGCAGCTGTGTATCTATTATTATTATTATTATTCTATATTATTACATATTATATCATTTATATATTATTATATTTACTTAAAGTGGCTATGTATCTATTATTAGTAATATTATTTCATATATTATTATTATTATATTATTAATATTTATTATTATATTTATTTTCCCCCTACTTGATCTCTCCCAAATGAGACTTAAAGCAGCTGTGTATCTATTATTATTATTATTATTATTATTATTATTCTATATTATTACATATTATATTATTTATATATTATTATATTTATTTATACCCCACTTTCTCTTTCCTGAAGGACACTCAGGAAAGAATATATGTAATAATAATAATATTACATATATTATTTATATAATTATATTATATTATAATATTTATTTTCCCCCTGCTTGACCTCTCCAAAAGGAAACTTAAAGTGGTTATGTATCTATTATTGGTAGTATTATTTCATATATTATTATAATTATTATATTATTAATATATTATATTATTATATTTATTTCCCCCCCCCCCACTTGATCTCTCCCAAATGGGACTTAAAGCAGCTCTGTATATTATTATTATTATTATTATTATTATATCATTTATATATTATTATATTATATTATGATATTTATTTATATCCCGCTTTCTTTCTCAAAGGACACTCAGAGCAGCTATGTATCTTCTATTATTATTACATATTATATTATTTATATATTATTATACTGAGACTTAAAGTGGCTATGTATCTATTATTATTAATATTATTATTTTGTATATTATTATAATTATATTTATTTATACCCCGCTTTCTCTTTCCCAAAGAACACTCAAAGCAGCTATGCATCTTCTATTATTATTACATATTATATTATTTATATATTATTATACTGAGACTTAAAGTGGCTATGTATCTATTATTATTATTATTATTATTATTATTTTGTATATTATTATAATTATATTTATTTATACCCCACTTTCTCTTTCCCAAAGAACACTCAAAGCAGCTATGCATCTTCTATTATTATTACATATTATATTCTTAATATATTATTATATGATATTATTACATTTATTTCCCCCCATTTGATCTCTCCTGAAGGACACTCAAAGCAGCTATGTATCTATTATTATTATTATTACATATTATATTATTAATATATTATATTATATTTATTTCCCCCTACTTGATCTCTCCCAAATTAGACTTAAAGCAGCTCTGTATCTATTATTATTATTAGTATTCTATATTATTACATATTATGTTATATTATATTATTATATTCCCCTCCCCCGCTGGATCTCTCCAAAAGCTATGTATCAACTTTTATTATTATTTCATACATTATTACAATTATATTTATTTATACCCCACTTTCTCTTTCCTGAAGGACACTCGAAGCAGCTATGCATCTATTATTATTATTATTATTATTATTATTATTATTATTATTATTATTACATATATTATTTATATATTATTATATTTATTTTCCCCCTGCTTGATCTCTCCAAAAGGAGACTTAAAGTGGCTATGTATCAATTATTATTATTATTGTATTGTCGAAGGCTTTCATGGCTGGAATCACTGGATTGTTGTAGGTTTTTTCGGACTGTATGGCCATGTTCTGGAGGCATTCTCTCCTGACGTTTGGCCTGCATCTATGGCAAGCACCCTCAGAGGTAGTGAGGTCTGTTGGAAGTAGGAAAAAGGGTTTATATACCTGTGGAATAATGACCAGGGTGGGACAAAGGACTCTTGTCTGCTGGAGCTAGGTGGAAATGTTTCCACTGACCACCTTGATTAGCATTTGATGGCCTGGCAGTGCCTGGAGCAAACTTTTGTTGAGAGGTGATTAGAGGAAACAAACAAGGACATCTATTCACCTCTCAACAAAAGATTGCCCCAGGCACTGCCAGGCCATCAGATGCTAATCAAGGTATCTGGAATGACTGACGATGCAACTGTTAGTGAGGAGATGTTGAGGATCTTGTTTTGACAGATATATTTGCTTGTTCTATTACGATTTAAATACTCAATTGTTTTGATAAATGCTTTAAGTGTATTTTGATGTTTGTTATGGCTTTGAATCGTTGCCGACTGTGAACATACAAATGCGGGAAACAAATGAATAAATAAATAAGGCGGAGAGGAGGAGAGTGAGCGTTGCAGCGCCTTTTATTTCCGGGGGGGTGCTGGGGGTGGGGTGGGGGGTGGGTGCAGTGTCATGCGGAGGTGCGCGTGGGGAGGAGGAGGAGGGCCTCGATGGCGGCGTTGAGGTCCCCGCCGGCGGCCAGCAGGGCCTGAAGGTTGGCCTCCCCATCAATGAAGCCCATGCCCCTCAGCTGCTCCAGCTGCACAACCAGGCGGGAGGAGGACTCCCCCGAAGGAGGAGAAGACGAAGGAGACGGAGAAGAGGAAGAAGGGGCCGCGGACGGGGGGGTCTGCACCTGAAAAGAGGAGGAGAAGAGGGAGTGAAGGAGAGGAAGGAGGAAGGGAAGGAAAAGAGAAGGAAGGAAGGAAGGAAAGAGAAGAGAGGGAGGGAGGAAAGAAAGGAAGGAACAGAGCGGAGGAAGGAAAGGGGAGAAGAGGTGAGGAAGGAAAAAGAAGGAAGGGAGGAGGGGAGAGATAGGAAGGAAGGAAGGAAGGAAGGAAGGAAGGAAGGAAGGAGAGGAAGGAAGGAAGGAAGGAAGGAAGGAAGGAAGGAAGGAAGAGGAAGGAAGGAAGGAAGGAAGGAAGAAAAAGAGGGAGAGAAAGAGGAAGGGAGGAGGAAATAAAGGATGAGAAAGAGAAGAGGGACAGAGAGAGGAAGGAAGGAAGGAAGGAAGGAAGGAAGGAAGAAAAAGAGGGAGAGAAAGAGGAAGGGAGGAGGAAATAAAGGATGAGAAAGAGAAGAGGGACAGAGAGAGGAAGAAGAGGAAGGAAGGAAGGAAGAAAAAGAGGGAGAGAAAGGAAGGGAGGATAAAATAAAGGATGAGAAAGAGAAAGGAAGAAGGGAGAAGGAAGGAAGGAAGGAAGGAAGGACGAAAAGAGGGAGAGAAGGAAGGGAGGAGGAAAAAAGGAGAGAAAGGAAGAGGGAAGAGAGAGAGGAAGGAAGGAAGGAAGGAAGAGAAGGAAGGAAGGAAGGAAAGAATGAAGAAAGGGAAAGGGAGGTAAAGAAAAAGGGGGAAGAAAGAAGAGGAAGGAAGGAAGAGAGAAGAGAGCAGAGAAGGAAGGAAGGAAGGAAGGAAGGAAGAAAAAGAGGGAGAGAAAGAGGAAGGGAGGAGGAAATAAAGGATGAGAAAGAGAAGAGGGACAGAGAGAGGAAGGAAGGAAGGAAGGAAGGAAGGAAGGAAGGAAGGAAGGAAGGAAGGAAGGAAGGAAGGAAGGAAGAAAAAGCAAGGAAGGGATAGATGGATGGGAGAGAGAAGGAAGGAAGGAAAGAAGGACAGAAGGGGAGGGGAGGAATGAGTGAGAGAAAGGGGGAGGAGAGAGAAAGGAAGAAAGAAGGAGGGAAGGAAGGGAAGAAAAAGAGGGAGAGAAAGAGGAAGGGAGGAGGAAATAAAGGATGAGAAAGAGAAGAGAGACAGAGAAGGAGGGAGGGAGGGAGGGAGGGAGGGAGGGAGGGGAAGGGAGGAAGGAAGGAAGGAAGGAAGGAAGGAAGGAAGGAAGGAAGGAAGGAAGAAAAAGCAAGGAAGGGATAGATGGATGGGAGAGAGAAGGAAGGAAGGAAAGAAGGACAGAAGGGGAGGGGAGGAATGAGTGAGAGAAAGGGGGAGGAGAGAGAAAGGAAGAAAGAAGGAGGGAAGGAAGGGAAGAAAAAGAGGGAGAGAAAGAGGAAGGGAGGAGGAAATAAAGGATGAGAAAGAGAAGAGAGACAGAGAAGGAGGGAGGAAGGAAGGGAGGAAGAATTTGATATGGAAGGGGGGGAAGAATGAAGGAGGAGAGGAGATAAGGAGGGAGGATCAAAAGGACAGAAACAGAAGGAGAAAGGACAGATGGAAAGAACGAAAGAAAGAGGTTAAGGAAAGGAAGGAAAAAAGGAAAGGAAGGAAAGAGATAGAAAAAGAAGAAAGGATGGGATGGATAGGAGAGAGAATGAAGGAAAGAAGGACAGAAGAGAAGGGAAGGAGGGAGAGAAGGAAGAGAACGGGACAGGAAAGAAAGAGGAAGGAAGGAAGGAAGGAAAGAGGGAGCAAGAAAAGAAGAAGAGAAAGAAGAAAGAGAGGGATGGAAGGAAGGAATGAAAGAATGGATGGAGGGAAGGAAAGGAAAGGAGGGAGGAAGGGAACGTAAGGAAAGAAGGGAGGAAAGGGAAGGAAAGGCAGGAAGGAAGAAAAATACAGGAATGTGAGTAGGAAGGAAGGGATAAGGGAAGGGATGAGAGAAAGTCAGAAAAGAGGAAAGGAAAGGAAAGAAGGAAGGAGAGGGAATGAGAGAAGGAGGAGAGGAGAGAAAGAAAGACGGAGGGAAGGAAGGGAGGGAAAGGAAGGGAAGGAGGGAGGGAAAAAAGGAGGAATGAAGGATGGAAGCGGAAGGAAAAGAAAGAAAAGAGAGAAGGAAAGAAAGAGGAAGGAGGAAAAGAAGGAAGGAAGAAATGGAGGAAGGGGATAAAGGAGGAAGGAAGTGATGGATGGATGGAAAGGAGGAAAGAAAGAAGAGAAGGGAGGGAGAGAAGGAAGAAATTGGGAAGGGAGGAAGAAAGAAATGAAGTGGGAAGGAGGGAGGGAAGAAAGGGAACGGTAGAGAAGAGAAAAGGAAGGACAGAAGGAAGAATTGAGAGGGAAGGGAGGAAGGAATGAAGGGAGGAAGGGAGGAGGAAAAGGAACAGGACAAGAAAGGAAAACGGAGGGAAGGGAGCAAAGAAAAAAGGAAGGAAGGAAAGGATAAAAAAAAAGGAAGAGAAGGGAAAGAATAAGGTTGGACTGTTTGGCCCTCTTTTGGGGCCCCTCCCAACTCTAGGGTTCTATGCTCGATCTCTATATCTGCCCATTGTCTTTGTGGCTGGATGGCTGTCTGCCAGGAGGGATTGAACTGTGTCCACCTCTATGACAGACAGAATGAGGTTGGACTGTATGGCCAACTTCCAGCTCTATATTCTATAATATAACTATATATATATATATTATATCTGTCATTCCATTGCATTCAAGGCTGGGTGGCCCTCTGTCGGGACGGATCGAATTGTGCCTTCCTCTACGGCAGAATAGGGTTGGACTGGGTGGCCTTCTTTTGGACTCTATGACATATCTATGCCTCTATCTGCCCGCTGTCTTTATGGCTGGGTGGCCCTCTGTCGGGGGGGATCGAACTGTGCCTTCCTCTCCGGCCACTCACCTGTGCGTTGGGGCCGGAGAGCATCTGGAGCATCTGCTGCATGAGCTGCGGAGTGGGCGGGGCCATGGCGGGAGTGGGCGGGGCTTCAGGGGCAGTGCTGCTTCCCGAGGAAGTGGGAGGAGGAGGGGGCGGGGCCCCAAACGAGCCCAGGCTGCAAGACACAGTAACGAACATAATTAGTATTATTATAATTTTTTACTAGCAATAAACAAATATATTGTTATATCTATTTATAATAATAATAATAATAATAATAATAATAATAATAATAATATATAATAAATATATTCTATGTATTACAAATATATTATTATCTATTTATTATAATAATAGTAATGGTAATAATATATTCTTAAGTATTCGTAATAATAGTAATGAATATTACAAATATATTGTTATCTATTTATAATAATAATAATAAATATTATAATAATAAAAGTAATGAATATTACAAATATATTATTATTTATTTATTATTATTATAATGGTAATAATAATATATTCTTAAGTATTCATAATAATAGTAATGAATATTACAAATATATTATCTATTTATAATAATAATAATAATAATATATAATAAATATATTCTTATGTATTTGTAATAATAGTAATGAATATTACAAATATATTGTTATTATCTATTTATAATAATAATAATGATAATAATAATAAAAGTAATGAATATTATAAATATATTATTATCTATTATAATAATAGTAATGGTAATAATAAATATATTCTTAAGTATTCGTAATAACAGTAATGAATATTACAAATATATTGTTATCTATTTATAATAATAATAATAATATATAATAAATATATTCTTAAGTATTGGTAATAATAGTAATGAATATTACAAATATATTGTTATCTATTTATAATAATAATAATAAATATTATAATAATAAAAGTAATGAATACTACAAATATATTATTATCTATTTATTATTATTATTATAATGGTAATAATAATATATTCTTAAGTATTCATAATAATAGTAATGAATATTACAAATATATTATCTATTTATAATAATAATAATAATAATAATATATAATAAATATATTCTTATGTATTTGTAATAATAGTAATGAATATTACAAATATATTGTTATTATCTATTTATAATAATAATAATGATAATAATAATAAAAGTAATGAATATTATAAATATATTATTATCTATTTATTATAATAATAGTAATGGTAATAATAAATATATTCTTAAGTATTCGTAATAATAGTAATGAATATTACAAATATATTGTTATCTATTTATAATAATAATAATAATAATAATAATAATAATAATAATAATAATTAATAAATATATTCTTAAGTATTGGTAATAATAGTAATGAATATTACAAATATATTGTTATTATCTATTTATAATAATAATAATATATAATAAATATATTCTTAAGTATTCGTAATAATAGCAATGAATATTACAAATATATTATTATCTATTTATAATAATAATAATGGTAATAATAAATATTTTCTTAAGTATTCATAATAGTAGTAATGAATATTACAAATATATTGTTATTATCTATTTATAATAATAATAATGGTAATAATAAATATATTCTTAAGTATTCGTAATAATAGTAATGAATATGTAACATAATATATTGTATATACATATAATATTTATAATATTATAATGCAAAACAATATAATAATAATAATAATAATATGGTATTATAATATTATAATGTATTACAATATAATACTACTAATAATAATAATATGGTATTATAATTATATATTTTATATTACAGGTAATATTACTAATAATATTACAATATAATGGTATATAGTAATATATAATACTGAGACTGTGCTATGCTGATAACATAATATATTGCATATATATATATATATATATATACACACACACACACATGCATTATATATATATATATATATATGTCATAAATAAATAAATATTGTTATTGTTGTTATTATTATACATTTGTAATAATGATAATAAGGAATATATTATAATGTAACAATAACAATAAATATATTCTTATGTATTTGTAATAATAGTAATTAATATATTATTATTATTATTATTATACACTTGTAATAATAATAAGGAATATATTATCATGTAATAATAATAATAAAATAATAAATATATCTTATATATTTGTAATAATTGTAATGAATATATTATTATTATACATTTGTAATAATGATAATAAGGAATATATTATCATGTAACAATGAACAATAAAATATTTGTATGTATTTGTAATTATTATAATGAATATATTATTATTATACATATGTAATAATAATAAGGAATATATTATCATGTAACAATGATATCAATCAATATATTCTTATGTATTTGCAATAATAGTAATGAATATATTATTATTATACATTTGTAATAATAATAATGTAATAATAATAAATAATAAATAATCTATTATCATGTAACAATAAATATATTATTATTATACATGTGTAATAAGGAATATATAATCATGTAATAAATAGTAAATATATTCTTATGTATTTGTAATAATAGTAATTAATATATTATTACACATTTGTAATAATAAGGAATATATTATCATGCAATAATAATAAATATATTTTTATGTATTTGCAATAATAGTAATGAATATATTATTATTATACATTTGTAAAAATGATAATAAGGAATATATTATCATGTAACAATGATAACAATAAATATATCGTTATGTATTTGTAATAATAGTAATTAATATATTATTATTATTATTATTATACACTTGTAATAATAATAAGGAATATATTATCATGTAACAATGATATCAATCAATATACTTATGTATTTGCAATAATAGTAATGAATATATTATCATTATACATTTGTAATAATAATAAATAATGTAATAATAATAAATAATAAATAATTTATTATCATGTAACAATAAATATATTATTATTATTATACATTTGTAATAATAAGGAATATATTATCATGTAATAATAATAAATATATTTTTATGTATTTGCAATAATAGTAATGAATATATTATTATATATTTGTATTAATAATAAGGAATATATTATCACGTAACAATGATAATAAATATATTCTTATGTATTTGTAATAATAGTAATGAATATTATTATTATACATTTGTAATAAGGAATATATTATCATGTAATAATGATAATAGTAAATATATATTTGTAATAGTAATAATAATCAAAATACACTATTAATAATAACAATAACAATAACAATAATAATAATAATAATAATAATAATAATAATAATAATAATAATGTGATGGTCACTCGTTGGCCTTGTGTCCAAATTTGGTGTCAATTCCTCCAAGATTTTTGAGTTCTGTTAATCCCACAAACGGACATGACCTTTTTATTTCTCTGGATTAATTAATTAATATGACGATTGTGTGTGTGTTGCCTGAACTGACCTGGGCACGAGCCCGGGTGCCTCTGCCTGGAGGGTGTGTATCCCTTGCTGGATCTGGAGCAAAGCCTGCAAGGCCCGCGGGTTGGTCAGCACCGAGAGAGACTCCGGGTTCTGCATCTGCAGGAAGGGAGGAAGGAAGGAAGTCAACAAGGGGGCGTGGCCTGCAGGGACAGGAAGTGCCAAGCCCCGCCCCTCGCCCCGCCCCCTCACCTGCTGCAGGAAGGCCGGGAGCTGGAGGCGGAGCTGCTCCTGGAGGGAGGCGTTCCCCGCGAGGACGGGCGCGTTCACCATCATCTGCGCAGGGAGGGGAGGGCATTGTCACAACAACAACAACAACAACAACAACAACAACAAGGCAATACTCTCGACTGAGTTGCGCAAAGAGAGATCCAGATCCTGGATCTTATTATTATTATTATTATTATTATTATTATTATTATTGTCATCATCATCATAGATACATAGCTGCTTTGAGTCTCCTTCGGGAGAGAGAAAGTGGGGTATAAATAATAATAATAATAATAATAATAATAATAATAATAATAATAATAATAATAATACATAGCTACTTTGAGTCTCCTTCAGGAGAGAGAAAGTGGGGTATAAATAATAATAATAATAATACATAGCTACTTTGAGTCTCCTTCGGGAGAGAGATAGTGGAATATAAATAATAATAATAATAATTATTATTATTATTATAATAATACATAGCTACTTTGAGTCTCCTTCGGGAGAGAGAATGTGGGGTATAAATAATACTACTACTAATAATAATATTAATAATAATAATAGCAGTAATAATAGTAATGATAATAAGAATAATAATAATACATAGTCACTTTGAGTCTCCTTCAGGAGAGAGAAAGTGGGGTACAAATAAATAATAATAATAGTAATAATAATACATAGCTGCTTTGAGTTTCCTTTGGGAGATAGAAAGTGGGGTACAAATAAATAAATAAATAAATAATACATAGCCACTTTGAATCTGCTTCGGGAGAGAGAAAGCGGAGTATAAATAATAATAATAATAATAACAACAACAATAATAATAATAATGCATAGCCATTTTGAGTCTTCTTCAGGAGACAGAACGTGGAGTATAAATAACTAATAATGTAGTAATAGTAGTAGTAGTAATAATAATAATACATAGCTGCTTTGAGTCTCCTTTGGGAGAGAGAAAGTGTATAAATAATAATAATAATAATAATAATAATAATAATAATAATACATAGCTACTGTGAGTCTCCTTCAGGATAGAGAAAGTGGAGTATGAATAATAATAATAATAATAATAATAATAATAATAATAATAATATACAAAGCCCCTTTGAGTCTCCTTCAGCAGACAGAACGTGGAGTATAAATAACTAATAATGTAGCAATAGTACCGTAGTAATAATAATAATAATACATAGCAACTTTGAGTCTTCTTCAGGAGAGAGAAAGTGGAGTATAATAAATATTAATAATAGAAATAATAGTTATTTATTTATTTATTTATTTATCGTGTCATCAGCAGCCAGACCATTGTGTAATAATAATAATAATAATACAGAGCCACTTTGAGTCTCCTTTGGGAGAGAGCAAGTGGGGTATAAATACATAGTAGTAGTAGTAGTAGTAGTAGTAATACATAGCCACTTTGAATCCCCTTTGGGAGGGAAAAAGTGGCATATAAATAAATATAAATAAGTAAACCACCACAACACCAATCACAACAACAAACCACAGCAATTATAACCACAACAGCCACAACCACAGCCATAACAATCACAACCGCAACCAACACAACCACAACAATTACAACTACCACAACAACAAGCCACAACAACGACAGTCACAACGACAGCAGCTAAAACAACCACCAACATAACCACAACCACAACCACCGCTACAACCGCGAAGAGGTGCCGCTCACCTGTGCGGCCAGGTGTGGGTCCTGGGCCAGGGCCTGCAGCATGGGGCGCAGGTAGGGGGCCGAGACCAGGCTCTGCATCAGCTGCGGGCGCCCCGAGATCTGGCCCAGCAGCCCCTGCATCTCCCCACTGCTGAACACACCTGCGGAGGACACAAAGCACACGCCCCTTTTATGCAAATCCTCCCCAGGGACACACCCCTTTTTATTCAAATGCCTCTGTTCTCCCCTCCTATCCTCTCTCTCTCTCCTGTGAGCATGGAGGGAGGCAAGATGCCTGCAGGTGCAACTATTGCAGCTATTGGGGAAAGGTGTGTTGCGTGCTTCGTACCTGACCCCAGGGTGGCCGTGTTGAGCCCCAGGGGGTTGGAGACGGTGGGCGGGGCGTGGCCTGGAGGGGCCCCTTGAGCCTGCGAAGAGGAAGTGGAAGACGAAGTAGAAGAGGAAGAAGGAGGGCTCCAAGGGTTGGGCAGCGGGTCCCGGTTCTCCGTCTGCATCGGCTGGGCATTCGGGGTCTCTGCGTTGGGGCCCGCCGACCCCGGGAAAGGGGTCCCCGCAAACTGGGAAGAAGAAGAAGAAGATATTGTTGGGCCAGTTGCGGAAATTAATGAGCCAGTCAGCAAAGGAAAACAAACCAGGCTCTCAGGCGCTCTGCCAGATTGAAGGAGAGACTGATAGCGGATCCAAGGCTGAGAAGAAATCCTTTCCTAGGGGATCAAAGTGTCAAGTACAGAATCTGTAGCCAGACGAAGCAATGTTGGAATTGAGTCAAGAGAGTTGTCTCAGGTCCCTGGAAGTCTTGGCTTGGACAGATTCTTGTATCAATTATTATTATTATTATTATTATTATTATTATTATTATTATTATTACTACTACTACTACTACTTTTATTTATGTATATTCCACTTTCTCTCTTCCAAAGGAGACTCACGACTTCCAGAAATTAATGAGCCAGTAGAAAGCAGAAGCGCTTTTACTCAGCAAAGGAAAACAAACCAGGCTCTCAGGCGTTCTGAACAGATTGCAGGAGAGACTGATAGCGGATCCAAGGCTGAGAAGAAATCCTTTCCTGGCTGCTTGGGATATAGAGTAGACTACGGGATAAAAGTGTCAAGTACAGAATCTGTATCCAGATGAAGCAATGTTGGAATTGAGTCAAGACAGTCGTCTCAGGTCCCTGGAAGTCTTGGCTTGGACAGATTCTTGTATCAATTATTATTATTATTATTATTATTATTATTATTATTATTATTATTAATTTTATTTATTTATATTCCACTTTCTCTCTCCCAAAGGACACTCAGTGGCTATGTCTCTATTATTATTATTATTATTATTATTATTATTACTACTTTTATTTATTTATATTCCACTTTCTCTCTATGTCTCTATTATTATTATTATTATTATTATTATTATTATTACTTTTATTTATTTATATTCCACTTTCTCTTTCCCAAAGGACACTCAGTGGCTATGTCTCTATTATTATTATTATTATTATTATTATTATTATTACTACTTTTATTTATTTATATTCCACTTTCTCTCTATGTCTCTATTATTATTATTATTATTATTATTATTATTATTACTTTTATTTATTTATATTCCACTTTCTCTTTCCCAAAGGACACTCAGTGGCTATGTCTCTATTATTATTATTATTATTATTATTACTTTTATTTATTTATATTCCACTTTCTCTTTCCCAAAGGACACTCAGTGGCTATGTCTCTATTATTATTATTACTTTTATTTATTTATATTCCACTTTCTCTCTCCCAAAGGACACTCAGTAGCTATGTCTCTATTATTATTATTATTATTACTTTTATTTATTTATATTCCACTTTCTCTCTCCCAAAGGAGACTCAAAGTGGCTATGTCTCTATTATTATTATTATTATTATTATTATTATTATTTATTTATTTATTTATATTCCACTTTCTCTCTCCCAAAGGACACTCAGTGGCTATGTCTCTATTATTATTATTATTATTATTATTATTACTACTTTTATTTATTTATATTCCACTTTCTCTCTATGTCTCTATTATTATTATTATTATTATTATTACTTTTATTTATTTATATTCCACTTTCTCTTTCCCAAAGGACACTCAGTGGCTATGTCTCTATTATTATTATTATTATTATTATTATTATTATTACTACTTTTATTTATTTATATTCCACTTTCTCTCTATGTCTCTATTATTATTATTATTATTATTACTTTTATTTATTTATATTCCACTTTCTCTTTCCCAAAGGACACTCAGTGGCTATGTCTCTATTATTATTATTACTTTTATTTATTTATATTCCACTTTCTCTCTCCCAAAGGACACTCAGTAGCTATGTCTCTATTATTATTATTACTTTTATTTATTTATATTCCACTTTCTCTCTCCCAAAGGAGACTCAAAGTGGCTATGTCTCTATTATTATTATTATTATTATTTATTTATTTATTTATTTATATTCCACTTTCTCTCTCCCAAAGGACACTCAGTGGCTATGTCTCTATTATTATTATTATTATTATTATTATTATTATTATTATTACTTTTTTTATTTATATTCCACTTTCTCTCTATGTCTCTATTATTATTATTATTATTACTCTATTATTATTACTTTTATTATTTATTATTTCACTCTATTATTATTTATTATTATTTATTACATTTACATTATTTTATTTTATTATTACTTTTATTATTTATTATTATTATTATTATTATTATTATTATTATTACTTTTATTTATTTATATTCCACTTTCTCTCTCCCAAAGGACACTCAGTAGCTATGTCTCTATTATTATTATTATTATTATTATTATTATTATTATTATTACTTTTATTTATTTATATTCCACTTTCTCTCTTCCAAAGGAGACTCAGACTTCCAGGGACCTGAGACGACTGTCTTGACTCAATTCCAACAGTGGTTTGTCTGGCTACAGATTCTGTACTTGACACTTTGATCCCCTTCTCTACTCTATATCCCAAGCGGCCAGGAAAGGATTTCTTCTCAGCCTTGCATCCGCTAGTGGCTATGTATCTATTTGTAACGAAGCGCATATATGATCAAGGAGGGAATTAAACTCAGGCCTCACTTATTGGAAAGAATATATTGTAGGGGAGGCCAATTATTTGTAAACTAGGGTAGCTGCCACCAATCGTGAGGTATATGGGTTATCAATGATAAGATTTGGCTTCACAGACGCAGATTGACTGAGATGAAACGGTCTTCAACAAAAGAGAACAAGTTTATTTTGTACAAAGCATGTGGATACGAGTTGTTGAATGACTTCTGGAACTTTAAGTAACACTTAGTTTGTAATACAGTTCACTCTTTCAAATGATACAACTTACAGCAACTGTTAGTGAAATGTAGCACTTTGCTGAGCAATGTCTCCTGAGGTGAATAGCTTTCTAATTTGATCTGTCCTTGATCAAACTACTGATCTCTAGTCTTCTCTCGACTAGCGATCTTAACTAGCTTTCTTTAGCCTTCCCTGACTAAAGAAACTATCTAGGTTTCTCCCTCCCGCCTTCCTAGGCTGAAAAACCTACTGCTATTCCCTCTCACTGCTCTTCCACTAAACTACTATCTCTGACGCCTGACTGAAACGACCTCCTAACTGGAACTGCTCACTCCGAGCTCCAAACCCTAACTCCTCACTCCTCGGAACCTAAAACCTAACTGAACATAAACTGTCGTTTTTCAAACTCTCCCCTCTAAGCTCCTCCCACTTCTCTCTCTACTGCATCGTCTCCATGGCAACGCACTCCTCTGACTTAGGCCGCTCCAGCATTAGTGCAGCCAATCTAAACACAAATACAGTTAAAATCATACAATTTATAATCAACTTCTGTACACTATTATTATTATTATTATTATTATTATTATTATTATTATTACTTTGATTTACTTATATTCCACTTTCTCTCTTCCAAAGGAGACTCAGACTTCCAGGGACCTGAGATGACTCTCTTGACTCAATTCCAACATTGCTTCGTCTAGCTACAGATTCTGTACTTGACACTTTGATCCCCTAGTCTACTCTATATCTCAAGCGGCCAGGAAAGGATTTCTTCTCAGCCTTGCATCCGCTAGTGGCTATGTATCTATTATTATTATTATTATTATTATTATTATTATTATTATTATGCATGCTCAAACACGCGATTGTTGTGTGTTGCGTGCCCACCTGTTCTCTGGCGGCGCTGAAGAGGGGCTCCTGGATGTCGGTGTACATGCGGCGCAGGGCGCTGTACCCGCCGGGGACGCTCTCCAGGTTGCTCAGGGCCCGGTCCTGGTGGCGCATCATCTCCTGCATCATGGCTGGGTTCCGTGCCAGCTCCATGGTCTGCGCAAGGCAGGGAGGGAGCGTCAGCACAACCTGATCCCTCCCCACAGATGGCCACCCAGACATCAAGACAAGGCACAGGCAGGGATAGACAGGTCATAGAGTTATTGTCCTATTCAGAAGGGGCCCCCAAAGAGGGTCATTCAGTCCAACCCCATAAGAGGTAGATCCGTGTTTCTCAACCTGGGGGTCGGGACCCTTGGGGGGGTTGCAAGGGGGGTCAGAGGGGTCAACAAAGACCATCTGTTGGTCATGGAGGTTCTGTGTGGGGAGTTTGGCCCAATTCTATCCTTGGTGGGATTCAGAATGCTCCTTGATTGTAGGTGAACTATAAATCCCAGCAACTCCAACTCCCAAGTGTATTTGTGCCCAGTTTGGTCCAGTGAATGAAAATGCACATCCGATATTTACATTACGATTCATAAGAGGAGCAAAATCAGAGTGATGGAAGTGGCAACGGAAATGATGTTATGGTTGGGGGTCAGCACAACAGGAGGAACTGCATTGAGGGGTCAGAGGCAATAGGGAGGTTGAGAGACATAGAGAGATGGATGGATAGAGGGAGGGAGGGAGGGATAGAACGATGTGTAGATGGGTGGGTGGATGGGTAGATAAATAGATGAATGGGTGGATGAATGGGTGGGTGGATACATAGATAGATGGACAAATAGATAAATACATGGATAGATGGATGGATGGATAGATGAAAGTTAGATAGATAGATAGATAGATAGATAGATAGATAGATAGATAGATGGATGGATGGATAAATAGATAGATGGATGGATGGACAGACGGACGGACAGACAGACAGATGGATGGATGGTTAGATAAATGGATAGATGGATGGATAAATAGATGGTAGGATGGATACATGGATGGATAGATGGACAAATAGATAAATACATGGATAGATGGATGGATGGATGGATAGATAAATAGATGGATGGATGGATAGATGGACAAATAGATAAATACATGGATAGATGGATCAATGGGTGGATGGATAGATGGATGGATGGACGGACGGACGGACAGACAGATAGATGGATGGTTAGATAAATGGATAGATGGATGGATAAATGGATGGATGGATGGATGGGTGGGTGGATGGATGGATAGAGAGCTGGACAAATAGATAAATACATGGATAGATGAATGGATGGACAGACGGACAGATGGATGGTTAGATAAATGGATGGATGGATGGATGGATGGATGGATGGATGGATGGATGGACAAATAGATAAATACATGGATAGATGGATGGATGGATGGTGGATGGATGGATAGATGGACAAATAGATAAATACATGGATAGATGGATGGGTGGATGGATGGATAGATAGATAGATAGATGGATGGATGGATGGATGGATGGATGGATGGATGGATAAATGGATGGATGGACGGACAGACAGACGGACAGCCAGATAAATAGATGGATGGTTAGATAAATGGATAGATGGATGGATGGATGGATGGATAGATAGATAGATGGATGGATGGATGGATGGATGGATGGATGGATAAATGGATGGATGGACGGACAGACAGACGGACAGCCAGACAAATAGATGGATGGTTAGATAAATGGATAGATGGATGGATGGATGGATGGATAGATGGATGGATAGATGGATGGATAGATGGATGGATGGATGGATGGATGGATGGATGGATGGATGGATGGACGGACAAATAGATAAATACATGGATAGATGGATGGATGGATGGTGGATGGATGGATGGATGGACAAATAGATAAATACATGGATAGATGGATGGGTGGATGGATGGATAGATAGATAGATGGATGGATGGATAAATGGATGGATGGACGGACAGACAGACGGACAGACAGACAAATAGATGGATGGTTAGATAAATGGATAGATGGATGGATAAATAGATGGGGATGGAGGAATGGATGGACGGACAGACAGACAGACAGATAAATGGATAGATGGGTGGATATATAGATGAATGGATGGATGGATGGATGGATGGATGGATAGATAGATGGATAGAAAGGTAGAAAGATAGATAGACTGTCTATCTATCTACCTCTCTACCTCTCTATCTATCTATCTATCTATCTATCTATCTATCTGTCTGTCTGTCTGTCTGTCTGTCTTCAGGTGTCCTTTCAATCTATCTGATTAATAGAGAGTGTTTGGAGAACATTTGGAGAATCGTACAGTCCAAGAGGCAGCGATGAAGTGATGGTCATAAGATTGGAATGGCTCCTGGGTTATGGTTTCGGGTCTTTGTGCCATGTTTGTATTTGATATGTTATGGCTTTATGACTTTTAATTGATTTTCATGCATAATGCATATTGTATGGGTGTGTTGTGGCATAGAATTATTGCTCAGAGTTGAGATAGAGCTTCGGGGTAAATAAACAAACAGAGAGATAGACTCCCAGAGTGGGAAGGGGCCCCTCAAGGCCACCCAGCCCAACCCCCAACCCCCAACCCCCTCCCGGCCCCTCCCGCCGATCCCGCCGCACCTGGCGCATGAGCTCGGGGTTGTTGAGCATGTGGCTGATCTCAGGGTTGCGCTGCATGAGGGCCTGCATCTGGGGGTTGGCCAGGATGAGGGTGCGCATGGCCTCGGGCTGCGCCATCAGGCTCTGCACCAGCGGGTTCTCCACTATCTGCGAGAGCAGCTCCGGGCTCGACATCAGCTGCCGCTGCATCGTCTGCTGCAGCTCCAGGAAGTTGGCCGAGCCCAGGCCCAGCCGGCCCAGCCCCGGAAGGCCCCCAAAGCCCGCTGGCAAGCAAGGAAAGGAGGAGGCGGTGGCATCGCACAACCACAACAACAACAACAACAACGAGAGAACCACAGGACCCTAGAGCGGGAAGGGACCCCCAAAGGCCATCCAGCCCAGCTCTTAAGAATAGCAATCATAATAATGATAATAATAATATATAATAATAATAATAATAATAATAATAATAATAATAATAATAATAATAGAATTATAGGATGCTAGAGCTGGAAGGGACCCACAAAAGCCATCCAGCCCAACTCTTAAGAATAGCAATAATAGCAATAAAGAATAATAATAATAATAATAATAAGAGAACCATAGGATCCTAGAGCTGGAAGGGACCCCCAAAGGCCATCCAGCCCAACTCTTAAGAATAGCAATAATAGCAATAAATAATAATAATAATAATAATAATAATAATAATAATAATAAGAGAACCATAGGATCCTAGAGCTGGAAGAGGCCTCGAAAGGACATCTAGTCCAATTATTATTATTATTATTATTATTATTATTATTATTATTATTATTATTTATTGTTTTAAAAACAGTAATAATAATAGTAATAATAATAATAGAATTATAGGATGCTAGAGCTGGAAGGGACCCCCAAAGGCCATCCTGCCCAGCTCTTAAGAACAGCAATCATAACAATGATAAAAATAATAATAATATATAATATATAATATATGATAATAATAAAAATAAAAATAACAGGACCATGAGATGCTAGAGCTGGAAGGGACGCCCAAAAACCATCCAGCCCAGCTCTTAAGAACAGCAATCATAATAACGATACTAATAATATATAATATAATATATAATATAATAATAATAATAATAATAATAATAATAATAATAATAATAATAATAGAACCATAGGATCCTAGATCTGGAAGAGGCCTCGAAAGGACAGGTAGTCCAACTCTTTAACTAACAACAACAACAACAACAACAAGAGAACCATAGGACCCTAGAGCTGGAAGGGACCCCCAAAGGCCATCCAGCCCAGCTCTTAAGCAATCATAATAATGATAATACATAATAATACTAATAGTAATAATAATAAGAGAACCATAGGCTCCTAAGCTGGAAGAGGCCTCGAAAGGACATCTAGTTACTCTTTAAAACAGTAACAACGACAACAACAACAACAACAGAACCATAGGATTCTAGAGCTGGAAGGAACCCCCAAAAGCCATCCAGCCCAATTCTTAATAATAATAATAATAATAATAATAATAATAGTAATAATAAGAAGAAGAACCATAGGATGCTAGAGCTGGAAGGGACCCCCAAAAGCCATCCAGCCCAAATCTTAAGAATAGCAATAATAATAATAATAATAATAATAATTATTATTATTATTATTATTATTATTATTATTATTATTATAAGAAACCATAGGATCCTAGAGCTGGAAGAGGCCTTGAAAGGACATCTAGTCCAATTATTGTTGTTGTTGTTGTTTTAAAACAGTAATAATAATAATAATAATAATAATAATAATAATAATAGAACCATAGGATGCTAGAGCTGGAAGGGACCCACAAAAGCCATCCAGCCCAACTCTTAATAATAATAATAATAATAATAATAATAGTAATAATAAGAAGAAGAAGAACCATAGGATTCTAGAGCTGGAAGGGACCCCCAAAAGCCATCCAGCCCAAATCTTAAGAATAGCAATAATAATAATAATAATAATAATAATAATAATAATAATATTATTATTATTATTATTATTATTATTATTATTATTATTATAAGAAACCATAGGATCCTAGAGCTGGAAGAGGCCTTGAAAGGACATCTAGTCCAATTATTGTTGTTGTTGTTGTTTTAAAACAGTAATAATAATAATAATAATAATAGAACCATAGGATGCTAGAGCTGGAAGAGGCCTCTAAAGGACATCTAATCCAGTTCTTTAAAATAAAATAATAATAATAATAATAATAATAATAATAATAATAATAATGAGATCTATAGGATGCTAGAGCCGGAAGGGATCACCAAAGGCCATCCACCCCAGCTCTTAAGAATAATAATCATAATGATCGTTATATATATAAAATAATAATAATAATAATAATAATAATAATAATAATAATAATAATAATACAGCCATAGGATCCTACAGTTGGAAGAGGCCTCTAATGAACATATCGTGTTAAGAAGAGTCCTTCTGGAACCGCTCTGGCCTCCCCCCCCCTTACTTACCCAAAATGGAGGGGGTGGAGCTTCCGGGCGCTGCTTCCTCTGCGGGGGCGGGGCCTCCTGGGGCGGGGCCCGATCCTCCTCCTCCTCCTCCGCTGCCCCTCCTCCCTTGGCTCCCGAGGGCCTCTTGGGGGGGCTGGGGGCCGGGAGGGGAGGGGTGAGCAGGAGGCGGGGCTGTGGGGGCGGAGTCAGCAGTGGGAGGAGGGGCCACAGAGGGGGAGGGGCCAACAGAGGCCAAGGTGGGGTCCTGAGACCTGGGAGGAGGAAAGGCAGGTAGGCTTTGAGACACATCAGCAATGGCACATCACACTTACCATTATTGCAATGGCTATGCAGCACTCTACTCTGCGATAGGTATTATTATTATTATTATTATTATTATTATTATTATTATCATCTCATATTTAGTTTTGCTTCACTCTGCTATAGATGTCTATTATTGTTGTTGTTCATTCGTTCAGTCGTCTCCGACTCTTCATGACCGCATGGACCAGCCCACGCCAGAGCTCCCTGTCGGCCGTCACCACCCCCAGCTCCTTCAAGGTCAGTCCAGTCACTTCAAGGATGCCGTCCATCCTTGAAGTGATTATTATATCTATTATTTTTATATCTATTATTATTATCACTTCATATTTAGCTATGCTTCACTTTGCTTTGTATACCTATCGTTGTTGTTATTTCATGTACTGCTAATATTACATGTAATATAAAATATATAATTATAATATCATATTATTGGTAGTAGAATCATAGAATCATAGAATCCTAGAGTGGGAAGAGACCTCCTGGGCCATCATCCAGTCCAACCCCATTCTGCCAAGAAGCAGGAATATTGCATTCAAAGCACCCCTGACAGATGGCCATCCAGCCTCTCTTTCAAAGCCTCCAAAGAAGGAGCCTCCACCACACTCCCTCCGGGACAGAGAGTTCCACTGCTGAACGGCTCTCACAGTCAGGAAGTCCTTCCTCATGTTCAGATGGAATCTCCTCTCTTGTAGTTTGAAGCCATTGTTCCATTGCGTCCTCATCTCCAGGGAAGCAGAAAGGAAGCTTGCTCCCTCCTCCTCCCTGTGGCTTCCTCTCACATGTTTATCCATGGTTCTCATCATGTCTCCCCTCAGCCTTCTCTTCTTCAGGCTAAACATGCCCAGCTCCTTAAGCCGCTCCTCATGGGGCTTGTTCTCCAGACCCTTGATCATTTTAGTCGCCCTCTTTCTCTGGACACATTCCAGCTTAGAGTCAATCTCTCTCTTGAATTGTGGTGCCCAGAATTGGACACAGTGTGATTCCAGGGAAAGTGGTCTAACCAAGGCAGAATAGAGCACGGGGAGCATGACTTCCCTGCATCTAGACACCAGGCTCCTCTTGATGCCTGAGGCCAAAATCCCATTGGCCTTTTTTTGCCGCTACATCACAGTAGTATTATATTGTATTACGTAATAGTATGATAAATATTATATGTACATGCAATATATTATATTACATTATATTACCGTTATCCACATCTCCTATATAGTGCTGGCAACGCTGCAGTCCTATCTATTATTATTCTATATTATATATTATTATGGCCAGAGCAAAGACAGAGGGGAGCAGAAGACATTTCCATCTTGTCTTTACTAAGAATATAATATAGTATATTTATATCTATCTATATCTTGCAATACCTGCACTCCCTTCCTAAGACCATTACAACTGCCAACAATGATGGATCAGGACCACAATTTACACAGAGAGTCCGCATAACTCACTCTACATCCTGGTGCGGTTTGGAAGAATTTGACAATGGATGATGGGACTTGCAGTCACTTCACTCACTTCCTGAGACCACTGAGACCCACGCCAATGACTCATCAAGACTAAACTTGGCACATGGAGCTTCAATGCCCCACTCTACATCCTGGAGCAGTTTGGAGGACGACAGACCATGGATGATGGGACTTCAAGTACCTCCACTACCCAAGACTGCTGCAAAACTCATCTAATGACCAATCAAGACCAAAGTTGCACACAGCCCCCATGACCCACTCTACATCCTGCTGCAGTTTTGGAGAAGGGTGGACCATGGATGATGGACTTCCAGTACCTTCACTCACATTCTGAGATCTGCGAACCTCATCCAATGACTGATCAAGACCAAACTTGGCACATAGATCTCTCATGACCCACTTTACGTACTGGTGTCGTTTGGAAAAATTTGGAGATTGATGATGGGACTTGCAATAACTTCACTCACTTTCTGAGACCACTGAGACCCTCGCCAATGACTAATCAAGACTAAACTTGCACATGGAGCTCCAATGACCCACTCTACATCCTGGTGCGTTTGGAGGAGGACAGACCATGGATGATGGGACTTCAAGTACCTCCACTCCCTTCCGAAGATTGCTGCAACCCTCTTCTAATGACCGATCAAGACCAAACTTGGCACACAGAGCCCCCATGATCCACTCTACATCCTGCTGCAGTTTGAAAGGGGATGGACTTTGGATGTTGGGACTTGCAGTACCTTCACTCACTTACTGACACCACTGCCACCCTCATCTAATGACTGATAAAGACCAAACTTGGCACACAGAGCCCCCATGACCCACTCTATATCCTGCTGCTGTTTGTAGGAGGATGGCCATGGATGATGGGACTTCAAGTACCTTCACTCACTTCCTGAAAATAATGCAGCCGTTATCCAAAGACCAATAAAGACCAAACTTGGCATACAGAACCGCCATTACCCACTCCCTCTAATAACCCGGGCAGCGCCGGGTCTCCAAGCTAGTATATAATAAAAGTCAAAACTTGTATGCGGCGGATGTGTGGCGGTGTATGTGCCGGCTTTCTGATTGGCCAGCCTGAAAGTTCCAAGATTCTGATTGGCTGCTGCTGTGGTGCTATTTGCATATGGTCCCTGATTGGCCTGCTTCAACAGGAGCCCCTGGTGGAGAAAAGGGTTCATGACAGAAACAGGGACATGACAGAAGGAAATTTGCATATGGTCTCTGATTGGCCAGCCTCAATTTCAAGATTCCGAGATGACAAAAAGAGGAAAGGAAAAGGCCAAAAAGGGGCTGCATCAGAAAATTACCAATACAGAGCACACTTGGCACACAGAGCCCCCATGACCCACTCGACATCCTACTGCAACCATGGATGATGGGACTTGCAGTGCCATCAGTCACATTCTGAGACCGCTGTTAACCTCATCCAATGACTGATCAGGACCAAACTTGGCACATAGACCTCTCATGACCCACTTTATGTCCTGGTGTGTTTTGGCTGGGGATGGACCATGGATTATGGAACTTGCAGTATCTTTGCTCAATTCTTGAGACCACTGCAACCCTCATCCAATTATCGATAAAGACTAAACTTGGCACACTTGAGTCTCTATGATGCACTCTACATCCTGGTGCGGTTTGGGGGAGGATGCACCATGGACGATGGGACTTGCAATACCTGCACTCCCTTCCTAAGACCATTACAACTGCCAACAATGATGGATCAGGACCACAACCTCGCACAGAGAGCCTGCATGACCCACTCTACATCCTGGTGCGGTTTGGAAGAATTTGGAAATGGATGATGGGACTTGCAGTCACTTCACTCACTTCCTAAGACCACTGAGACCCTCGCCAATGACCGATCAAGGCCAAACTTGGCACACAGAGTCCCCATGACCCACTCTATATCCTAGTGCATTTTCGAGGACAGACCATGGATGATGGGACTTCAAGTACCTCCACTCCCTTCCAAAGACTGCTGCAACCCTAATCTAATGTCCGATCAAGACCAAACTTGGCACACAGAGCCCCCATGAACAACTCTACATCCCGATGCTGTTTGGAGGACGGACGATGGATGATGGGACTTCCAGTACCTTCACTCACTTCCAGAAACCACAGTGACACTTATCCAAATACCAAGAAAGACCAAACTTGGTACAGAGAGCCCCATTGGCCAACTCAACATTCTGGTGAGGTTTGGGGGAGAACAGACTATGGATGATGGGACTTCAAGTACCTCCACTCACATCCCAAGACTTCTGCAACAGTCATCCAATGACCAATCAAGACCAAACCTAGCACACAGAGCCCCCATGGCCCACTCTGCATCTTGCTGCAGTTTGAAGGAGGATGGACTTTGGATGATGGGACTTGCAGTACCTTCACTCACTTACTGAAACCACTGCCACCCTCATCCAATGAGTGATAAAGACCAAACTTGGCACACAGAGCCCCCATGACTCACTCTATATACTGCTGCTGTTTGGAGGAGGGTTGACCATGGATGATGGGACTTCAAGTACCTTGACTCACTTCCTGAAAACAATGCAACCATCATCCAATGACCAATAAAGACCAAACTTGACATAGAGAACCACCATTACCCACTCCCTCTAATAACCCGGGCAGCACCGGGTCTCCAAGCTAGTATATAATAAAAGTCAAAACTTGTATGCGGCGGATGTGTGGCGGTGTATGTGCCGGCTTTCTGATTGGCCAGCCTGAAAGTTCCAAGATTCTGATTGGCTGCTGCTGTGGTGCTATTTGCATATGGTCCCTGATTGGCCTGCTTCAACAGGAGCCCCTGGTGGAGAAAAGGGTTCATGACAGAAACAGGGACATGACAGAAGGAAATTTGCATATGGTCTCTGATTGGGCACCCTCAATACCAAGATTCCGAGATGACAAAGAGAGGAAAGGAAAGGCCAGGGGCCACTCTACATCCTACTGCAGTTTGGAGGAGGATGAACCATGGACGATGGGGCTTGCAGTACCATCACTCACATTCTGAGACTGCTGTTAACCTCATCCAATGACTGATCAGGACCAAACTTGGCACATAGACCTCTCATGACCCACTTTACATCCTGGTGTGTTTTGGCTGGGGATGGACCATGGGTTATGGGACTTGCAGTACCTTTGCTGAATTCCTGAGACCACTGCAACCCTCAACCAATTACCGATAAAGACCAAACTTGGCACACTGAGTCTCCATGATGCATTCTACATCCCGGTGCAGTTTGGGGGAGTATGCACCATGGACGATGGGACTTGCAATACCTGCACTCCCTTCCTGAGACCATTACAAGTGCCAACAGTGATGGATCAGGATCACAATTCGCACAGAGAGCCCGCATGACCCACTCTACTTCCTGGTGCAGTTTAGAAACATCTGGAAATGGATGATGGGACTTGAAGTCACTTCACTCACTTCCTGAGACCACTGAGACCCTCGCCAATGACTGATCAAGACCAAACTTAGCACACAGAGTCCCCATGACCCACTCTACATCCTGGTGCACTTTCGAGGAGGACAGACCATGGATGATGGGACTTCAAGTACCTCCACTCCCTTCCCAAGACTGCTGCAACCCTCATCTAATGTCCGATCAAGACCAAACTTGGCACACAGAGCCCCATAACCCACTCTACATACCGATGCTGTTTGGAGGAGGGTTGACCATGGATGATGGGACTTGCAGTACCTTTACTCACTTACTGAAACCACTGCAACCCTGAACCAATGACTGATAAAGACCAAACTTGGCACACAGAGCCCCCATGACCCACTCTATGTCCTGCTGCTGTTTGGAGGAGGGTGGACCATGGATGATGGGACATCAAGTACCTTCACTCACTTCCTGAAAACAATGCAACAACTCCCACCACTCCTAACTGCCTCAGGCCCTTTCCTCTCCCATCCCCCACCCCCAGCCGCTTAAGCTAGTTGTATATAAAAGGTAAAGGTAGTCCCCTGACATTAAGTCCAGTCATGTCTGACTCTGGGACTCTGGTGCTCATCTCCATTTCTAAGCCGAAGAGCCGGCGTTGTCCATAGACACCTCCAAGGTCATGTGGCCATAGGCATGACTGCATGGAGCGCTGTTACCTTCCCGCCGGAGCAGTACCTATTGATCTACTCACATTTGCATGTTTTTGAACTGCTAGGTTGGCAGAAGCTAGGGCTGACAGCGGAAGCTCACGCCGCTCCCTGGAATCGAACCTGCGACCTTTCGATCAACAAGCAGGTCAGCGCCACCGGGGGCTCCCATATTGTATATACATATAATATTTATAATATTATAATGTAATACAATATAATACTAGTAATAATAATTCAATATTCTAATTATAATTATATATTTACATTACCTGTAATATTACTAATAATATTACAATACAATGGTATAGTGCAATATAGTAATATATAATACTAAATATTGTGCTATGCTAATAATATAATATATTGTATGAAAATATATATATTGTAAGCCGCTCTGAGTCCCCCTCGGGGTGAGAAGGGCGGCATATAAATGCCGTAAATAAAATAATAATAAAAATTATTATTATTATCCTTGTTATGATTCTGCCCCCTTACTTCTGTGGGGTCTTGATGACGAGGTGGACGGTGAGCCCGTCCTTGATGCCGTGCTGCTGGAGGGAGTCCCCGTCCTTCAGGATCTTCCCGGCAAAGATCAGCACCAGCTGCTCCTGGCGCGCCTTGAACCGCCCAGAGATCTCCTCCTTGAACTGAGGAAGGAAGGAAGGAAGGAAGGAAGGAAGGAAGAGGGGCTACCGTTAGGGCGGGGTGTCTGTCGGGAGGGCTTCGGGGGTGCCTGGCCGGAAGGAGGCGGTTGGGCTGCGGGGTGCTTAGAGGGCCCCTTTCCCCTCGCCCAAACCTAGGACCGGGAGGTTCTAGATCACTCCAAGCCCCGCCCCTGAAGAGGAACAGAATAACGCTCTCTACTCTTAGCCCCGCCCCCTTGAATACTCATAGGTTGGCTCTAAGCCCCGCCCCTCTTCCTAGCCACGCCCCCTGAATACAAATCCTTCTCAAGAAAAGGCTTATTCTTCCCCTATCCCCGCCCCTTTCCAGGCCACGCCCCCTTCCTGAATGGAAAGACAACCAATCTTAAACCATGCTTCTCTGCTGCAGTTTCACCTTAAATATATCCAAGGAAAGACTTTTAAACTCCAAAGGGTCTTCCCTGTATATATTAATGGCCCCACCCCCTTCCTGGCCCCACCCCCTGAATACAAATCCTTCTCAAGGAAAAGCTTGCTCTCCTTCTGGCCCCTCCCCCTCCCTGAATACTAATTAGACTCTAGGAAATAACCCCGCCCCCTGAATGCAAATCCTTCTGGAGGAAAGGCTTTTAAAAACTTCTGGCCCCGCCCCCTCCCTGAATACTAATTGGTTGACTCTAGGAAGTGGCCCGCCCCAAGGAAAGACTTTTAAACTTCTAGCCCCGCCCCTCCCTGAATACTAATAATGGCCCCACCCCCTTCCTGGCCCCACCCCCTGAATACAAATCCTTCTCAAGGAAAAGCTTGCTCTCCTTCTGGCCCCTCCCCCTCCCTGAATACTAATTAGACTCTAGGAAATAACCCCGCCCCCTGAATGCAAATCCTTCTGGAGGAAAGGCTTTTAAAAACTTCTGGCCCCGCCCCCTCCCTGAATACTAATTGGTTGACTCTAGGAAGTGGCCCGCCCCTCTTCCTAGCCCCGCCCACTCCCTCCTGGCCCCGCCCTCCAAATACAAATCCTTCTCAACGAAAGGCTTTTATTGTTCTCCTGGCCCCGCCCCTTTCCAGGCCCCGCCTCCTCCTTGAATACTAATAGGCTGGCTCTAAGCCCCGCCCCTGGATGCAAATCTGCTCGAGGCCCCGCCCCCATTGTGGTCCTGGCCCCGCCCCTGATCTCACCCCCTTTCCAGGCCCCGCCTCCTCCCTGAATAAGTAATAGGTTGAGTCTAGGACATGGCCCCGCCCCTCCAGGCCCCGCCCCTCCACTGAATACTAATGTTTATTCTAGGGAATGGCCCCGCCCCCTGGATACAAATCCTTCTCCTGGCCCCGCCCCTTTTTTCCAGGCCCCGCCTTCTCATGAATACTAATAGGCTGGCTCTAGGCCCCGCCCCCGGGTCCCACCTCCCTGACGGAGAGTGTCTCCGGGGCGAGGAGCTCCTCCTTGTCCTTGGGGGTCTTCACCGTCACCCGGATGAGCGCGGGGCGACCCTCCTTCTGCGCCCCCTCCGAGCCAGCCCCCGCCTCGCCGCTGCCGCCGCCCCGCAGCTCCGCCATCCCCGCGCACTGGCCCACTTCCGGCCGCCCCCAGGCACACTTCCGGCGGAGAGAGGCGCAGAGGGGGCGGGGCCTCAACGAAGCCACGCCCCTCCCCTCAGCTTCCCCCAAAAGAAGAATAGGTATATACCTGTGGAATAATGACCAGGGTGGGACAAAGGACTCTTGTCTGCTGGAGCTAGGGATGAATGTTTCAAGTGACCAGCTTGATTAGCATTGGAGGGCCTGGCAGAGCCTGGGGCAATCTTTTGTTGAGAGGGGATTCGATGTGCCTGATTGTTTGCTCCAGGCACTGCCAGGCCATTATATGCTAATCAAGGTGGTCAGTTGAAACATTCCCACCTGGCTCCAACAGACAAGATTCCTTTGTCCCACCCTGGACATCATTCCACAGAGATATCAACCCATTTTAATAATAATAATAGTAATAATAATAATAATAATAATATTGTGGATCAGCCAGGTCTTCAAATGCTAATGAAGGTGGTCAGCTGAAACATTCACACCTAGCTTCAGCAGAGAGCTCTTTGCCCCACCCCAGTCAATCCACAGATATATAAACCCATTGTCCTAATTCCAACAGACCTCACTACCTCTGAGGATGCTTGCCATAGATGCAGCGAAACGTCAGGAGAAATGCCTCTAGAACATGGCCATATTAGCCCGAAAAAACCTACAACAGGGACATCTAATCACCTCTCAACAAAAGTTTGCTCCAGGCACTGGCAGGCACTCAAATGCTAATCAAGGTGGTCAGTTGAAACATTCCCACCTAGCTCCAGCAGACAAGAGTGCTTTGTCCCACCCTTGTCAATTTTCCTAGTTCTAACAGACCTCACTCCCTCTGAGGGTGCTTGCCCTAGATGGAGGCGAAACGTCAGGAGAGAATGCTTCTGGAACATAGCCATATAGGCCGCAAAAACCTACAACAACCCAGTGATTCCAGCCATGGAAGCCTTTGACGAGACACCCCAAGAGAGGAATATATTATTCGTATCATTATAAATGTTATTTCAGGGCAACAAAATGAGAAAATCAGAGATTTGAGCCAGCCATGCAGTTCAGGTGCCGCTCTAGGCCCCTCGCCTCGTCTTCCCTCCATTGTCTATATGAGGGAGAAAAAGAGACGCGCGGGCTAGAGCGGGGCGGAACTGCTGCCTGCCGGAAGCGTGCGTGTGGAATGGAGTCTCCAAGGAGAGCAGCAGCAACACGGCCTGGCCTCACGCAGTTCAGGTGCCGCTCTAGGCCTCTCGCCTCGTCTTCCCTCCATTGTCTATATGAGGGAGAGGAAAAGAGACGCGCGGGCTAGAGCGGAGCGGAAGTGCTGCCTGCCGGAAGTGTGGGTGTGGAGGGGAGACTCCATTTCCTGGCGTGTCTCGCGGGAGTGAGGGAGGGAAGAAGACAGCCAAACCATAGAGATCTCAAAGCCCGACCCTTCAGGTGCCGCTCTAGGCCCCGCGCCTCGTCTTCCCTCCATTGTCTATATGGGAGAGGCAAAGAGACGCGCGGGCTAGAGCGGAAGTGCTGCCTGCCGGAAGTGCCCGTGTGGAGAGGAGACTCCATTTCCCGGCGTGCCCCGCGGGAGTGTGAGGGCGAGCGGCGCGGCCTGGCCTTCTCGTCCTCCTCCTCCGGGTTCTCCTCCTTCTCCGGAGAGCGATGCTTCGCCCGAAGGCGCTCACGCAGGTCCTGAGCCAGGCCAACACCGGCGGCGTGCAGAGCACCCTGTGAGTGTCTCCCTCGATTCGCTAGGCCTCACTTCCGGCCTCTCTAGGAACGCCCCTCCCTCCATTCGAAGAGGCCTAGTCCTCACAACAAGAGTCAGAACAATAATAATAATAATAATAATAATACAATCCTTCCCTTGTACATATATAATATAATAACAATACTAATATAATAATATGTTTCCCTTGTGAATATACACAGTAATAATAATAATAGTAATATAGTAATATAATAATAATAATAATGTAATATTTCCCTTGTACATATATAATATAATAATAGTAAATAATATAATAATACTAATATAATATGTTTCCCTTGTGAATATGTACAGTAATATAATAATAGTAATATAATAATAACAGTAATATAATAAAAATGTAATTCTTCCCTTGTACATATGTAATATAATAATAGTAAATAATATAATAACGATACTAATGTAATAATATGTTTCCCTTGTGAATATATACAGTAATATAATATAATAATAGTAAATAATATAATAGCAATAATGTAATATTTCCCTTGTACACATACAATATAATAATTTAATAGTAATATAATAATAATATACTACTTCCCAATATAATAATAATGATAATAATGTAATTCTTCCCTTGTACATATATAATATAATAATAGTAAATAATATAATAACAATACTAATGTAATAATATGTTTCCCTTGTGAATATATACAGTAATATAATATAATAATAGTAAATAATAGAATAACAATACTAATATAATATGTTTCCCTTGTGAATATGTACAGTAATATAATATATAATAGTAAATAATATAATAGCAATAATAATATAATCTTTCCCTTGTGAATATATGCTGTAATATAATAATAATAATAATAATAATAATAATAATAATGTAATATTTCCCTTGTACACATACAATATAAAAATGTAATAGTAATATAATAATAATATAATCTTTCCCTTGCGAATATATGCTGTAATATAATAATAATAATAATGTAATTCTTCCCTTGTACATATATAATATAATAATAGTAAATAATATAATAACAATACTAATATGTTTCCCTTGTGAATATATTCAGTAATTTAATATATAATAGCAATACTAATATAATAATAGAATCTTTCCCTTGCGAATATATGCCGTAATATAATAATAATAATAATGTAATTCTCCCCTTGTACATATATAGTATAATAACAATACTAATATAATAATATGTTTCGCTTGTGAATATATGCAGTAATATAATAATAATAATAATATAGTAATATAATAATAATGTAATACTTCCCTTGTACACATACAATATCATAATGTAATAGTAATATAATAATATGCTACTTCCCTTGTACATATATATTATCACAATAATAGTCATAATGATAATAATATAATCCTTCCCTCGTAGTCCTATCATCATCATAATAGTAATAGGAGTGGGAGTGAAGGAGCCAGCCCCCACTGCTGGTTTGGCTTGGACTACATCTCCCAGAATCCCCCCCCCCCACCTTGTCATTGGGAGGTACAAGGGAAGTATTACATTATTATTATTATATTACAGTATATATTCTCAAGGGAAGTAGTATATTATTATTATATTACTATTGCATTATTATATTGTATGTGTACAAGGGAAGTATTACATTATTATTATTATATTATGGTATATATTCTCAAGGGAAGTAGTATATTATGATTATATTACTATTACATTATTAT